AGAGCATTGCCTGCTTTCAGCTTTTTCTTCTCCTACTGTCAACTGTCAAACAAAATTTACACGTTTTCCTTACAACTGCACCTCACGAAATAGTCGGGGCCTCAAAGTCGGGACTCGAACAAAGAAATGGGGAGTGCGTGAGTCTCTGTTTTAATGGATTGATTGTTTGGTAAAGTTTGCATGTTAATTGCCTTTATGGTGGCGATAGACGACAAAGCACACTTAAAAGTTCAAAACCCATTACCGAGTTCATGGAATTTTCTTTTTTTATCAGTCACATTTTCAACAAATTAACCTCAATAGCATATGACTCCCACCCTGGTCAAGACAATGGAAATAAATTAAATGCTGTCTACAACTTATTTAACTTTTTAAAACAGAGAACTTCTTAAATAATGTTTACAGGTCGCAATGAAGTGCAATCTCTTAATTTATGTTGAAACCACTTACTTTGGTTGGTGTTAGGTGATTTATGGTTATTAATAAGACGATGGTACACACTTTTAAAATATAATATAACATGTGAATTGATATCAATTATTCGACATGAACACTAATACATTTGTTTTTAAATCAAAGATAACAACTCAATATTTTTAATGATGTATTTAAATCAGTGGTCAGCAAAGGTCTATGTACGAAGTATAGGCTAAGGCCAAGTCGGTAGAGCAGCAGAAGTAAGGCGGCAGAGGCCGGCACCAACAGTATAAAAACGCAGTCGCCACACACACACTGACTAGTTTCGCTGTGAAAATTACTCTTACAAAGAAGTGCGAGCATGTTATAGTATGTGTGTCGACTACTGATTTAAAAAGTATTTTAAGTACACCTCTGTTTTAGAAAAAGTAGAGCTTCATCAAAATGGATGTTTACATATTTGAACATATAAGTTCCGGGTATTTTGTCAATTAAATGCGTTTCAGAGGGTTAAAAATTCTCATCCTCTAAAAACGGAACGGAAATGGTTGAGGCTGCCCCAAACAATTCAATTAAGCCTGCTCCTCTTGCACATCTCCGATCGTTTGGGCCCAATCGAAACTGACTTGGCTCTTACCTGCTGCTAACCCGGCTGGCTGATGCGAATTGAAAACAAAACAAACAAACTGAGCTTAGACAACTCACAAACTCACAACACAACAATGCGGTCGTTGGACGCGAAGGCGCGCAGCGGGGGCGCTTAATATGCAGCCAGCGTAGCAAGTCGGGTGGTGAGCAAGTCGGGGATATTATACCCATTCCATATAGCCAGCAGCAGCTGGCGTCTTTCGTTCTTGCTGTCGCTCAACTGATCAACTGGTTTAACAATAAAAACAAAGCTCAGGCGGCGTTGGCGTTACTTTAACGTTTAACAGAAACGAAAAAGTTGCCGTTTTTCTTTTTTTTGCTTCTCGCGCATCGATTGTCGGGGCTTGGCTTTCTTTGAGGAAAAAAAAAAATAAAATAAAAACTCACATAGAAACTATAAAAAATGGTAATTTGTACGCTTTTGCCTTTTTCTCCGCTTCTTGCTCAATCGTACGTCTCACACGCGCTTCTAATGTCTGGATGTGATACATAAGCTCATAAAACATACAGCCAAATGGATGATGATGATGGCATATAAAAAGCTACACGAGTTTTTCAATTGACTTCGAAAGTGGCAAGCGGCTGGCAGCAGCATGCAGCAAATGGGGCGGACACCAGCGAAAAGTAGGCGTGTGGGACACTAACAATAGTGCACTGTTTTTGGCTCTCGGCTCTGCCACACTTTTGATGAATTAGCCGTTTTTTCTATCGAGTGTTGTGGAGGCTTGGAAAATTGAGTTGCAGCTGCAGCACTTGATGGAAAACGCTGGCAGGGGCTGAGGAAGTTCGTTGAGCCGGATCATACCCAGCTGAGACTCATTAAAACACCACTTGAACCACGCTTCGTGTTATACCGCCTCTAAGCGCAGGTCAATAAGTGGAGTAGTTGTCTGATTTTCGACTCCAGGCCAGTTAATGCCTTTGTGTGCAATGCAATTGGAGAGAAGTGGGAGAGAGAGCTTGATTGATGGGGTTCGTAAGGCAGGGTAATTGATTTAATTACAAAAAAAAATTACTTCCCATACCGGGAATCGAACCCGGGCCTTCTGGGTGAAAGCCAGATATCCTAGCCACTAGACCATATGGGATATGTTCTACTTTCTTCCAATTTATAAAATGATGCTGGACTCTTTTTACGTACCACAAATACAAGCATTCCAATTAGAAATTTACTTTTTGTTGAATATGAAACTAAATATAAAAAATATATTTTCCAAAGTCAACGTGGACTGTTCGAAAAAGTATAATAAGAACGCATTTTAGCCGCTGCTCACATCAGTCCCATATTGTCTAGTGGTTAGGATATCCGGCTCTCACCCGGAAGGCCCGGGTTCAATTCCCGGTATGGGAAACTTTTTTGCTATAAACTTGTATTTTATTTTATTTATTTTTTTAATTTTAGTTTATACAACTTTGTGTTTAAAAAGTTTGGCTTGGTTTCTAGCAATAAAAAATAATTCAATCTGACGAAACAAGCAATGGAAACAATTCAAACGCTTGCTAACAAAATGAGTCTTTGCTGCACGCCTATCAGCCTCCCATATGGTCTAGTGGCTAGGATATCTGGCTTTCACCCAGAAGGCCCGGGTTCGATTCCCGGTATGGGAAGTACTTTTTTCTTTTTTTATTATAGGAAAATATTTTTTTATGTGAATTGACAGAGTATCACGGTTTTAAATAATAGTTAAACATTCTGTTACTTTAAAATAAGATTTTAATTTTGTACACCTCTGTATCGTAATTCAAATTAAAATGTGGGTCGATTTCCTTGTTTATTGACTACCACTGTCGATGCAAATCTTATTGCATTAATAGCACTTATGTTTGTTTTGGTTTTTCTCGTGTGCTTTATTTATTCATCGCAATTGCCTAGCGCCACCCAATTGATGCCAATCGGACACGCAACGAAATAATTCGAGACCTTTTTTTTTAAGGGGAGGAGAAAGAAATGCCGTTTCTTTTCCTCGTCAATTGTTGATGTCTGCGCTTATAAAGAAAAAAAAAAAACAGAAAACCAAGAAAATAAAGCAAAAAAAAAAAAAAAACGGTTTTGTTAACGACGGGCAAAAGCTCAAAGAGCCAGAGTACTTAACTTTTGTTAAGCCAAAAATTAGGCATGCCCAGCATTGCAACATATAAGTGGAAACAACAGCAACAACGACAATAGCCTGCCGCAAAACGTGTGGCAAGCGAATGGCAACAACAATAAAACAGACACAATGCCTTGACAGAGTTTTTAACGTTTTATTTCTTTAGATACGGAAAATTGCTTTTTCATTGTTGCAGAAACCAATGTTTGCTTGTTGCTGCTGTTGCTATTTACAAGCTGACTTGGCAAACGGAAAATCAATTTTTAATTGCAGCAAATTTGAGAGAGCTGCGGGACAGGCAAATTGCGAGCTGGCCCAAAAAGGCAAATTAACGTTAACGTTAACGAAAACAATTGGCATTTTGAGTCAGAAACTTGTTTAACGGTATCGAGCGGCAGCTGCATTATCTTTTGAGGAAAGGAAATTCGCCGCAGCATGTCAAAGGGGGACAGCAACAATATGTCAAAATCTCGATGAGCAGAGCAATGAACCGTTGTAATTAGCATACGTCCGTGTGCGTGCGTGGGACAGGGAGGACAATAGAGGCACTTTCGATTATTGAACTTGTCAAGTTCCGCATTTGTATTAATTGTTTGTATTCTTCTGCTAGCTTTGTTTGTTTTTTCTAGTATCTTACCTTTTTGGCGATGTTTTTAGCTGGAAATCCACTCCTTCCTGTGGTGCCAAACCGAAAAACAAGCGAACAATTAATTTCATTAGAAGTATCTAACAAATGCCAATCCAACACGATAAAGAAATAGTAAAACTACAAATAGGTGTGTGTAAACAAGATAAGCTACACCGCGTGGGGGAGAGAGAGAGGGGATGAGAAAGAGAGAACGAGAGACGCGGCAGCAGCAACAACAACAATAACACGGGGACAATTTACAGCGCTTTATTGATTTTTTACAAAGCAACTATTCGGCCACGAAGCATGCCATTTCCATTTGAATTTCGCTTTTAGCTTATTTTGCAATTATTTTATGCACAGAAAACAGAGCACAAAAGAATTTCACACACACGAGCACAGGCTCACACACCCAAACACACACGAGCGCGACTTCAATGTCAACTTCACTTATTTTTCTTTTTTTTTTTCTTGCTTTGCTCCGTCCGTGCTTTTCGAATTTATTTATTTATTTATGATGCACTTCAATTACCCGTCAATCTGCACAAATCCACGCGCTTGCAGGTTGAAGAACAATGAACACCCGCTGCTTCTTCCAAGCGCGCTTTTTCTAGTAAACTTTTTTTCCGTTTAAATCCAAACAGCTGGAGACTATTAGAGATGGCGAAACATCGATACCAATATGGATGTCATCGATGTTTTCAAAACATCGCTTTCATCGATGTTTGGCGGGGCAACATCGACGTTTTTCCATCTCTTCTCTGCTTTCTCTCTGCCGCAGCGTTGGCTTTACAGGGCAATGTTAGGAACATTCTAGTAAAATTTATTTTTCGGTTAAATGACCCAACAGCTGGAGACAATACCGATACATCGATATCTTATCCAAATTATCGATAGGAGTCTTGCACTGGAACTTGTTTCTACATGTAGAATTACATTACACATAACAGCTTGGCGGTTTATTTAAAATTTAAAGTGAAGAAGTATTTTTGTTCCGTTAAGAAAGAGATGCCTCGTTCAATAACTCAACTAAATTTTAATTAAACACATTTACACCTTTTTATAAAAAAAATATTTAATTTAAAATCCGCCCGCAAACACTTTAATTTCCTTAGGCTTATTAATTCCACATGTTGGCTTAAGTTTTTTTTTTCATTTACATTTTTATGTATTTTTTATAAGCATTGCTTTATAACTGATTACCGCATTTAACTTAAATTATATGAGGTATAGAGAATTTATAAAATTTTTATAAGTAAATGAAATATCATTATATTCTTGTACAGTTTATTTGATCAGTTTAAAAGTGTAATGATTGCAACTTTTCTAATCTTATTCTTTGTTTATAGAACCCTTACTTTACTGCTCAACCCGAGTTCCTGTGTAGTCGCCGGAAGCAGTGATTCACATTGGGCTTGACTCCCTGACAGCGGTTGTTCCAAGCCACCCAGGCGGAGAATCCTTGCTGTTTCCTAATATACTTGGCACACGCGATCGAATACCGGATATCATCGCTCAACAGCAGACGGCAGGGCAGTCGACAGAGATCGCTGGAGGGACGACCATCCGCCGGCTTACACCAGTAGCGATCGTTGATCTGGAACAGACCCCAGTCCACAGAGCCATCAGCATTGCTGGGATTGATGGCCTTGGTGTCGAAGGAGCTCTCGCCCTCCACGAGGCACATCCAGTCGGGCAGCTCGTTGTAGGGCACTCCGTACCGGTAAAGCCTTCGGGCCAAGCTGCATCTGCCCACCTGGCGGCCACTGGCCACAACTGATAGTGATAAGAGAACCAGCAGCCAAATGTGCCACATCTTCGGAATCAAATGACCCGATCTATTTGGGATTTGCGGCTTATATAGCCATGCGGGATTTTGGCCTGGGCCAATCTAATTTTTACAAGCACTCATTCGGACAGCTCTGAAGTGTGGCCCACACTCGAGCATAAATTATGAACACTGCGTAACAAAGTTCAGAATGCTAATTCCCACTATAATATGCAAATTATCTTTATCAAAATGAACTAAATCAATATTACCATTTGAATCGAATGAGAAATGGGAGACGTTGGTGCGAATTTAACAAAAAATTTTCTAAAACAATTATAATGGGAAGAAATTTTAACATTCCGTTTTAATTTAGATATTTTGTGTCATAAGTATTTAAAAGTTCTTTAGATTTATAACTTAAATTATTTAAAGCAACTAGAGTTTAAATGTTTTATATTATTTTTTTTTAGGAGATCAATATTTTTCGAAATTTTACAAGTTCTAAGAGATTTTATAATATTTTGGCTAAGAGAATCTTTAAACATATATAACCAATGCCCTCAAAATAAAGATCGGTCCAATTCTAAAACTTCAGTTTTGCCGATCAGTGTCAAACCAGTAACAGATTTTCGATTCTTGAGCATTGACAGGCCGATCGGGCCAGTTTCGTTAAAATATAGAGTGGGAATCGCTCGCCATTTAAGCGAGGCATCTGCCTGGGCCCAGTTTCACTTTCAATGGGTTCTTTTGTGCTCTGTGCACAGGTATTATATAACCATTATTGACAGCTGGAGGGGCTCCAGCACTTGAAATCGCGTGTGTGCGCCAACAATGGAACAATTAACCGACAGCAAAGTCGTTCAACTTTTGGACAACTCGTTTTATTGTCCAACATTGAGTACAAAAATAAGCAACTTAATTTAATATCTAACGAATCTCCTGCAATTCCTGAGCCGGCGGGTGCTTAATCTCCTGTTCCGGGGGCGGCTGGTATCCCTGCTTGGGCAGGAACTGTCGTTTTCTGGAAGTGGGACGCACCACAATGTGGGCCACGCAGGTGCAAATGGCAGCGATGGCAAAGTATTTAAAACTTTCTCGTCCCCCCAGGCTGTTGAACATCAGACCACCGATCAGGGAGCCAATGGAGAATCCAAGCCCATCATCCATGCCAGCCATTAGTCCCTGGACGGTGGCCGAAGTTCCTGGCGGAGCCACCGCCGAGGCGTAGGCCACGATACAGGTGTAGCACAGGGCATAGGTAATGCCCTGGAAAAAGAGTTCCACTCCGACCAGATACCAGGGATTTGGGATCCAGGCAATCAGTGACAGTCGCACCGCGTAGAAGAAAAAGCACATGCTCATGCAGTGAACGTAGCCCAGCTTCTTGATGATATTCCCACTGTAGAAGAAGAAGGGCACCTCTCCGGCCAAACACTCGGCGGCCACCACCAGACCCTCGATCAGCTTGATCTGATGCATGTAGCCAGTGGCCTCGGCCACCTGTTCCAAGTGCCAGAACATGAAGTAGATGATGAACGAGTCGATGACGCCGGCCATGGTGGCGAAGAACAGGAAGACCACTATGGGTGGCTGACGAACCAGTTGCCACACATCGCTCCAGATGGACTCGGAGCCACCCAGTTTGGGCAGCTTCAGTCTGGATACACTAAACAGATCCATTAAACTGAAAACGCACATGATGATCAAGGCGGGTGTCAGACTTTTAATGGCGTCCGTGGTCCACCAGTTGACCACAACGCCAGCCAGCAAGGCCGTAGCTCCAAATCCTATGGTGCCCCACACTCGTTGGGCTCCGTACTTGCCCTGCTCCTCTTCGCCCAGCAGATCAAAGCAGCAGGCATCGGATATGGAATTGGTCACATTGAAGCCAACGATTCCAATGCAGAGCAGGCAAACGAAAAGCCAAAATTTGCCAGCTCCATAGATGCATCGATTCACAGGTCGCAGATGACAAGATGCATTAGCTTGAGTCCATTCACTGGATGCTGGTTGGCTTAAGCACATGTGATGACTGTCGTTTCCATGAAGCATATTCTGGCTGAGATTGAGTCCTGCCTCATAAGCCACAATTAGGACGGGAAGTTCTGCTATCTCTCCTTCCTGAATACAATTCGCCTGATGAGTCGTTTGGCAAAACGCTCTGGAGGAGTAAATCGTGGAGCTACAACCTGGTGGAGTTTCCAGAATCGACACATTCCACTGGGCACTGGCGTCCTCCAACGGGATGAAATGCGAATTGTCGGGTAGGAAATAAAATCCAGCAAAGGCAAGTGTCATGATTAGAATAAGAGCGATGAAGATGAACTTCCGCAGGCTCTGTGAAGGAAATGTGAGTACTCATTAATACCGAATGCAAGTGCAAGGATTATCTTAACTCACCGTGAAATAATCCACTAGGAATCCCACCATGGGCTTGGCCAGGACATAGAGTATAGGCAAGACGGCCATTATGTAGCCCATTACGTCCGGTGGAACACCGATTTGCTTGCCAATCACTGGGAGTTGTGGCAAAATGGGTCCCATGGCTAATAAATAATAATAATAATATAATAAACAGTTGAAAACAGCTTTAAAAAAATTTTTAGTTTTTATATATATTTGATTTGACATTAATAATAGTATTTGTGATATAAAGTAATACTGAGAATTTATTATAATCACTCAATGATTGGATTCCATTGCTAGGTACATATATATATATATATATATATATATATATCAAATAAATAAAAACTATATAACTAACATTGAATTTTTATACGTCCAAAAATGTAAAACTTAGTTTTAATTTATAAAAACAATAGAAACCATTACATTCTTGAATGTTAAAATTAAATATCGGAAAAGCCTTGCTAAAATTTTTTTTTTAACGTAATGTTTTTTTAATAATGTAACAGATTAAATATTGAAATATATAATAACTTATTTATTGCGAATTTAGTTCCTAATTTATAATGTAATAATGTAAAATAATTATATTCCCAAGGCGAACATTGTTTGTGTTGTTTTGTTCTAATTTCAATATATTTAAAATGTTCAATTGTAATTTTGGCAAAGCCTAGCTAATATTTCATCAGATTTTCTCAAAATATACCCGATAATGTGACCGATAAGAATATTTTTGATATGAATATGATTATAATCACACAATTATTGCGAAATCAGTTCTAATTGTGGATCTAATGGGTTTGCTTTATAACTCACCTGCCATAAAAAAGAAGAAATGTGCCTTGATCGGCAGCAGGCGCCTGTTGAGTCGCACCATTGTCTAGATTTTGCAAATTATGGCTGCAAAGTATCACAGTCTAAATGTCTCCATGCAATCCTCGGTTTGGAGAAGGTGTTTCTACCCAGATAAGATCATTATTTTAGCACGTCGTCTGTCGTTCGCCGTTCGACTTTTACTGGGGATCTGTCGTCTGGTGGAAGGACTCTGTAAATAGCCAGCGACATGGATGTAATTCAGAGACTGCTAAACAATATCTAATCTCGCGTTGATAAAACGCCGGGCCAGACTGTATAGCAAAAAAGCTGTAATCTGCAACATAAAAGTTCATGGGAGATAAGCAAAAGCATAAGAACAACAAATGTTATCTCCACTATTATAAATGTTTGGGGCCAATTAAGTCCGTAGGTCTGATAAAGGTTTTAGGGCCTGACAAATAAATGCGCCTTCGAGGCATATTGAAGATCCCCACTTGAACGCTCCAACTCAATTAGTTATTGCGTGTTGTGTATAGTAAATTCATTAAAACCTGGGTTAGTGTATATATAAACTTTGTAGATAAAAACCGGTTTACGGTACCAAATCACTCGTAAACTTGACACACAAAAAATTACAATTTGCAAACCTTTAAATAATGGCTTGCCAAAAACTTTCCAATAGCCGATCATTAATCAAATACAAAGTGGAGATTTGGAAATCCCTAGAAAATAATGTAAAGATACTGAAAATGCAAAACAAAGTGCGTGACAAAGCTCAATAAGAAAAATTATTATATGGTAAAAACAGGGAAGCCACAGGAATGTTTTTACTGGATTGGATTAAGTCGTTGAGTTAATTAAAACATTTGAATACAATATGATTGCATTGCGAATTGGGAGGGAAAATGTATATATATATATTTAGAAATAATACTTGTTTTGATCAAATTCCGTATCAATCTTCCGTATCTTGTTATTTGGCATAACACTTTGCTAGTCAAAATTTAACGTTTTTGAGTAGCAATTTTACAAAATTCACTGTTAAAAATTAAACGTTTTTGTTGACCTATAAATATTAAATGGCAACTGTTTTGTTTTGTATAATTTAAAAGGTTTAACTATCTGTAGTTCACGCGATTAAACACCAGCCACTCTATTGACAATTTAGCGGAGATCAAGTGAGATTTAACATTAATTAATGGTAACAATGAAACATTGATACTGGCAATTGCTTTGGTTTGTGTATTAAAATGTTTTAATTTTTATTTCGTGTACGGAAATGTTTCAATTATCTGTAATTCACGCGATCAAAGTATAAACAAACGGCAAGAGCTGCAAACAGAGACTGAAGAAAGTGCTGAAACGCCTGCAGTTTGTATGGCAACTGATAAGTCGAGTCGGTCGATAAGGAATCAGTCAATTATATGGTGGGTATACCTATTGATAAACTACAGATTAGGGAGGCAGCCACAAGGGACCAAGTCTGAGGTAATTTCCTACAATCATTGCACCCCTACTCCTCCTCTCGAAAGGTGCTAATCAATCTATCTATAGCTAGCCAAAAACCCCAGCTTGACTCATCCATCAGCTGTGCGTAGTTGATTGTTATTCCGCTGCTTACTGGCTATCTCGTTCAGCAGCCTGAGCTCAAGCGGATAGCTCGGATCGAGTTTTACTCGCTGGCATCTGGGAGGGCTGGCTTCAGTCGCCGCCGATCTTCCAATGCGAGAGGTTCGGGCTCGAAAATCCATACAACCACAAGCGGTTCTCAACGCGACAGTCTATAACTGACTTAATCCCGAACTCGATCTCGAGTAACAATTAGCGATTAACGACGAGCGGTTGACGCAATCAGAAATGCAGTGGCTTACATTAAGTTTGGTGGGGCTGTTCGCCTCGTTCTTATCAATATCAATATTAATATCAATACCAATGTGCGTGGCTGTGGAACCGCCCGATGATGGCAAATGTAAGTTCAGATTAAAGCTTGGGGGGCGGATCTGTGTTTGTCTGGAAATAAAAACAAAAAAAAACAAAGCAAATTGGGAAAATTAATTTATGTACATTGAGATGCAGCTCAGGGCTAATTGTGGTTGTGCGGTATTTATGAGAGCTTGATTAAGACGTTTCTTTATATAGCGGAAAACAAAAACAAATCAAAACGAGAAAGAAGCTAGATTTGAGTCTTAAGCTAAACACACTTGTTTTAGAAAATATTATTAATATTACATTAATTATATGCTAAAATATATTTTATCAATATTTTTAAGAAGCTTTTAGATATATTTTAATATGACAGCTTATTTATTCACTTAAAATGAAAGGAAATTAAATACATTTTTTTATAAAAGAAATATTGTCTTTAAGCGTATATATATTATTTAAGAAATAAAAAAAGCTCTTAGACATTTTTCAACTCAAAGTAAAGGACTTATAAATGATTAGAATAGATTACAATCATAAAATTAATATGGCACAGATTATCAAAATTTAGTAAAATAACAAAAAAAATACCAAATGGCAAATAATAGCAAATGAAATCAATTTCACTAAATACAGATTTTCGTTTGAAATCCCTGTTCCTTAATTCGATTAGACAACTTTTATTAAAGAAATTTTAAGTTATTAAGATACTTCAATCCTCTGAAAATACGACCACTCATTTCTTCTTAAGCTTTATGTTTATTAGCAAGTTCGAATGAATCCATCAAACATTCGAATGATATTAAATACAAAGTCACCCCGCAATTAGCCATCAAAAATCGCGTAAAAAACATATATCATGGATCTTTAATTCGAAATGCACTGCGAGAGAGCAGCTGACCTTGGTCACTCATTCGACTGGGTGTAATCAAAACCCGCTAGAGAGACAGCAGTATCAGGCCTGAAAAAAAGCCGATCGAAAACGAAAACCAGTCCCGTCTCGACCTTGGAGCTACTGCTCCATTGCCCAAAAAGCGGCCCAGCGCAGAATGGCTTACTTAACTTTAACTCCCAGTTTGCGACTTTATGTGAATTCTGCGAATGCAGCCAGCCTTTTCAGGTTTCCCCCATCAACTGACGCACCTGGGGGGAATTTTTAATTTTAAAAAAATACCCCCAAGATATCTTGATCTTTTCCGAAAACTGCAAGCGGGTAGAAGCTCTAAAAAAAAGAGACCGAAAAATAAAGATAATCATAATTGATGCCGCTCGTCTGGCAACAGGTTTTTTTTTTTGCGGATTATATACTAAGCAGAAGCAGAAATCTAAACTAAATGTATTCCACCTTCTCCTCCCAAAGTGCGGGTCTGTGTGGTGGAATCGCGTGGCATTTATCGGAAAACCCCCAAGTTCTGCCCGCTGCTGGAGGCCAAGAGCAACATCGAGTGCGTCATCGGCGTGGACCGGCTGGATTGCGTGCGTCGCATCCACAAGGGCACTGCCCACTTTGGAGTGCTCACCTCGGAGGACCTGGTGGCCGCCCGCTGGGCCAGCGTGGAGATCCTGGTGGCCAGTGAGCTAAGATCGCACCAGTCGCACTTTGAGTACGAAATAGTGGCTGTGGTGGACAATCAGGCCGATATCCACACGGTCCATGATCTGCGAGGCGCCAAGCTGTGTCATCCCGGCTATGGATTGGGCAATCACTGGACGGAGGTCCTGGCTAATGTAAGTGATTCTCTTCTTGGTATCATTACAATTTCAGTAACAAGATTACAACTCTTGTTCAGCTTCGTCTGTCCGTTCGTCTGTTCGTTTGTCCGTTTCTACGCAAACCAAAAGTCTTCTATTGCAGCTGGTATATAGGTCGTAAAGTGACGGAACGAAAGACTATTTATAAAATTTAACTCTAACCGAAAAAAAATAAAAGAAAGGAAATTATAGCTTCGTTGTTGTATAGTAATATTTTACTATTTTGGAATTATTTTTATAATTTGATAAAAAATCGGACAACAATATGTTAAATATGCCATAGGAAAGATCGCAAAATTCTTTGGAATATTGACATATCTTCATTGCAAAACAATCGAAATATATCCGGTTTTCAGAATATTTAATTGTTGTAAAAGTTGCAAGGTTATTAAAACTTCGGCTCGCCAAAGTTAGCTTCTGGTAAAATTTTACTGAATCTCAATCCGCTTTGCAGTACTTTGAAGCTGCCATGGTATCCAAGACCTGTGATCCGGAACTGACCGTTACGGAGGATAGGATTTCATCGACGGCCAGGTACTTTGGTCCCAGCTGCAAGGCGGGTCCCTGGGTGCCCGATCCCAAGCAGGATCGCATCCTGAAGAGTCGCTATCCCTCGCTGTGCGAACTGTGCTATGATTCGGTCAACTGTGATCAGAACGACAAGCACTGGGGACGACGAGGAGCTCTCTACTGTCTGACCAGTGGTGGTGGCAACGTGGCTTATGCTCGTCTGGATGATGTGCGCAGTCATTTTGGGGTAAGTATTTAATTAGAGCCCAGCACAAATTGATTTTGAGTTGGGAAAAAACTTATACTCATATAAATATTATTCACAAGCAAAAATTACACTCATTAATTAATAATTGTTGATCGGATTGTGTTTCCAGCATGATTCAAACGAATCTTTGAGTGTAATCGTGCAGGGCTCAATTTAAATGAATTTCCCAAGACGATATATCGTAATATAACATTTTTCTTTCTCTAGTTATCTGGCATTGCGGCTCAGGCGAATCCCTCGGAGTACAGCTACCTTTGCCCGGATGGTCATCTGCAGCCGATAAACGTGACCAAACCATGTGTGTGGGTGGCCAAACCCTGGCCCGTGGTGGCCGCACGTCGCACCCATGCTGCCCAAATACAGCGTTTGGTCACGGGACTCAGTCATGACGAGCCGGACAGTTGGCAGAGTGCCCTGCTGAGCCTCCTGGAGACATATCACGTTTTTACCGTCCCTCTGGACAATGTAATATCCATCGATGACTACCTGGACCAGGCCACCGCCTTCCAGTCGGCCTACAGCTTTCCGGAGTGCAATCCGCCGAGGTCAATTATCTTTTGCACCACGTCCATCATTCAGCACATCAAGTGCTCCTGGCTGCAGGAGGCCTCGCAGGTGTACGGTGTCCAGCCGAATATCCAATGCGTGAGGACCATGGATGTGCAACAGTGCCTGGATGATACCAAGTTCAAGGCAGCCGATGTGGTGCTTGTGGATCAGGAAATGCGGGTAAAGGCCCAGCGGGATTATAATTTAGTGCCACTGCTGTTTGAGTTCGCCACGGATATGCATGATCGGTATGTGACCATTGCCCTGGTGCACAAGGATGCCAAGTTCCAGAGCTTCAACGATCTCAGGGGAGTCAGAGCCTGTTTGCCCTCGTACGAGGGAGCTGCCCATTTGTCTGTCCAGGAGACGATAGTGAATGCCACGGGCAAGGTGCACTCGCTGCACTCCTTCTTCCACCGCGACTCTTGTCTGTGGCATCCGGATAAGGGCAGAAAGTGCCCGCTGCACTATCAGGGTGATGAGGGTGCGCTCCGCTGCCTTTCCGAGGGCGCCGATGTGGCCTTCCTCAGTTCGGATGTGTACAACAAGTATGTCGATGGCAACCTCACTGCGAATTGGTTGGCCAAGGGCAACCACAAGGACTTCCGGGTACTGTGCCCCTACGGAGGCATTGAAAAACGGTCTAACTTTAAGTACTGCTACCTCCATTGGACCACCCGTGGCCACCTGATGACCCACAATTCTTCACTGACGCGTCACCATGAGATCTACAATTCGCTGCGCGACATGGATCAGTTATTTGGCCGGAAATACAAGAGTGAGACACGTCCTTTCACCCTTTTCGGCATCTTTGACAAACGGAACAATGTGCTGTTTCGGGACACCACCGATGGGTTGCTGGGCCTCCAGGAGCTGCACCGCGATAATGCCAAGCGGGTGATGGAGCACATCTACGATCGGTATACCAACACCCAGTACTACAAGAACTTTGACGAGAGTGGAGCTTCGCAATTTAGCTATAATTACTGGATTTTGATTTTCTGCTTCTTTTTCACGCTGCAGCGTCAATTTTCTTAGTCATGAGCACGAATCTAATCTTATTTATTGTGATATTATGCTAAACTTAAGTTAAGAATAACAAAGCTTCAACCAGAGCTATATCACCAAATGTACTTTTTTGAATTTAAAAATGGCGGTTACTTTTTATAAGAAATCGATATAACAATCGATATGTTGGCTACCAGTTGAATTCGAGCACGCCAGTCCTTTGCAACACTGGACAAACAGCTGTGTTTATGGCTGGCCGATTTGTTGTTGCTATGTACAAGGACTTTGAGTTTCCAAGGAAACTGGAAAAAATGTCACAACTGAGCAGCATTACGATTGATTTAATTTACGTGGAACTCGGCAATAACTTTCATTATTTGGCACTAAAATTGGGTACTTTCAAAATCAGCCATTGCTACTAAAATGTCAAAAAATGCGACGCGAACGAGCAGCAAGAACGTAAGCCCCAAAAAAGGCACTCCAAAAAGCAAAAAAAAACCGCACATGTATTACACATTTCACTTGATTTAGTATGCCGCTGTCGATTTTACCTTTTTGCTGATTAATTTTCACTTTACCGCTCTAAAATAAAACTAAACAAACCTGCATTTTATTATTAACACCTAGAAAACAGTCTTTTTATCAGCTTTATTCCTGGTTTTAATGCCCACAAAAGCTTTACTGCCAATTAGAGTACACAGCAGCATGTTAATAAAGCAGATAATATGTAACAGCGTTCAATTAAAACTAATAAACGAACCGATCGCCACACACAAAAAAACCTTTTGTTTGGATTATGGCCAGTGCTGTTAGCTGTTAAAAGACAGTGCTGTAAAAGTAAGAAAAGGCGTTATAATTTTAAATAACCATTCGAAAATTGCAGGTCAAAACGGAAATGCCCAGGAAGGTCACCAAATCGCCGGCAACCACAAAAGAGTCCAAGGAGCGAAGGTCACTGGCCAACAGACAACCGGATAGCTTGGAAGGCGAAAAAGTGGCCAAGAAAACCACAACAGCAGCGGCGCAACCTTCGACCAGCAAAAAGCCATTGAGCACGGGGAAAAACAAGGAAACAAGGGAGCCCCTGAGCAAAAGGACCACTCCGTCCCCAGGAGCCTTGCGCGCCACCACCACCAGGCAAGCGGCAAGCACAAAACCACCCTCGCAGACCAAACCCAAAACCGAGTCTAAGTCCAAACCCAATGCAGTTCTGGACACTTACCACAGTGTTACAGTGTCTTCACCGCCTCAAAAACGCAAAGGACAGGCAAAACCGGACACACCTGTTGCTGCAGCCAAAAAGGAGCAGATATCACCCACTCCTCCTCTAAAAGAAGCTGCCCCTGCTGCTCCTTCAAGAGCCAGAACATTCACGCGCACCTTGGAGCCCGAGGAAGTGGTGGTGCTTAAGCGCGAATCCGCCAAGCAACGCAGCGAAGTGGACAACCAGGAATCACAGCCTGTAAAACAGCCAGTGACCTTTGAAGTCAAGTTCGAAGAAGCCAAAAAGCCAGACCCGGAATCCGATCACTACTCCGATGACTTTGAGTCCTATGAATCGGATTTTGAAACGGATACCAGCACGTCGGGAAAGGAAGAAACAGATGAAGAGCCAGGAGGAACATCATCCTCCGAGGCAGAAGTGGAAGAGGAAGAGGAACCGGACTCGGAGCCCACCCAGAATCCCATTACGGTTATCCATCGCGATAAAGATCAGGAGCGCAAGCTGGACTCTGGCCACTATGACATGCGGATGAAAATAAATCCCCAGAATCAATACGATAGTTTCGATACCAACTCAATGGCCAACTCAGAGCAACTGGACTCTGGGATCAGCACCAACGAAGTGGAGAAGCAGCCCCGAAGTGGTAGTGGTGAAGCTAACGTCTACTATGGCGGCTACTCCGGATTCGTGTCCCATCCCGTAGTTAGTCGACGCGGCGAGGAACTGATGGCCAAGCTGCGCTTCGACCAGCTCAACTACCACCTCTTCGAGATGAAGCCATTGAGCTACGAGGGATTCATGCAGAGCTATGGCAAGCTGAATGCCTGCCAAAGGGCCACCCAGACGCAGCCGCCCCAAATGGACGGCGAGTGCCAGACGCTGGAGGTGCACAGCCGGAGCAGCTGGACCCAGCATCCACACCACTATGGAGGTCAACTGGTGCTCAGTTGCAGCGGCGATGCGGAGCTGGAGCAAACATCGAAATCTCAGTCGACAGATGAGTACAATGGTATAAAACATAGTAAATTTGAGTACTTAAAACTTCATTTAAATCATTTCGCTTTTATTTTCATTCATTGCGGTTTTAGTTATATTAAATATAAAACCAAATATTTTTTTTACTATTTGCGAAATGGTTGTAAGTATCTGAACATTTAAATTAAAAGATATTTGAATGGTATTTTGTATTATGATTTTGTAATAATTTACATAAATATAAAATATAAAATGTTGATTGTTTATATTGTGTAAACTTTTTATTAGTGTATAAAATTAAAATTTAAAAGAAAATTTTAATATTGAATCAAACAATTTATTATGCTTGGAATTTTATATTATTCTTTTATATTTAATGCTCAGAAATATTATATATAAAATGTTGAATTCAAAAGCCATATATTAATTTGTACTTATTTACTGTACATATTTATTTCAGTGTATGCAACGAGCCTTTCTCGCTTGGAGCAACTGCATCGCATGGAGCAGACTCGATCCCAACAGCTTCAGCAAAAGAGATTGGCCAAAACCACGGATCTAGAACGTCTGAATACGTTTCTGCACAAGGCCGGAAGACTAATGGGCAGGGTTTTGGAGGGCAATAAAAACTGGGGAAAAGCCAGCAATCCCCGGAATATTCCTCTCCAGACTGGACTACTCAATGCCCTCCCAGTTCGCCGAATCTTTGGCAGTTCTGAAAATGGTCAACTAGTGGTGACCGTCCACGAATGTCCCCAGGATGGCAACGTCTACAGCGATGACTTTGCCAGCCTGCTAATGGTGTGGTCGCTGGCCAATCCCGGCCAGCCTCTGCGTCTGCTTTCCACCTGGGCCGAAGTCAGCCGGGTGGCCATCTCTGGAGAGGCTCAGGACATCGTGGTGGCCGGATTGCGAGACGGCAGTGTGGCCATGTGGGATCTGCGCGAGACGCACAGCTACTGCTCCAAGTTGGATGGCCATCTGACCCACTTTGCAGCCACCCAGTCGGTGGTTCCCATGCTGGAACTGCAGAAGGGTGTGAGTGGGAATGTGAATACCATGGATTTGGGCGCCGTGGTGGATGTGCGCAGCTTTAGATCGCCGCTTAAGGGTGGAGGAGGAATTGCTGCAGCCGGAGGCTTGCAGACGCCCTACAAGGAAGTTCAGGTAGGATAATCCTTATTCTCAGATTGACAATTCATTATACAAACCGCTGGTTAGGTTTTATTTGTATTTTTGGAACTTATTTCTTAAGAATTTGTTAGCTGAACAGGCAACAATAAAAATATCTGCCCTTAGAATTACGTAAAATTAAACTGCTGAAACCGATTCCCAGCTACCAAATGAAATTTGGGGTCTGGAGAAAGAATGGGTTACTTCTGGATAAAAAACAGTGGGTTAAGTTTGATGTCATTGGCCAAGGAAGTTTTAATCGGAGTTTAAATGACTTCAATTTTTGGCATTGTCTTTGGCATAAAGAAAAATAATTTTATTCATTTTATGTATAGAATAAGGACCTAAACTAGATCAAGCAATGGCCACAAGGCCAAAGTGGACAGATTTAAGATGGGAAAAAAACCATTATGAAAAGGAATACAAATGCATTATTTTAATTCTAGTAATCAGGTAATAATTTGATGTATCCTGGTTAACATTTCCATAAGGTTTATATTTATACAGGGTACTCCTTGTAAATTAATACTTACATTTTTGAAAACTAAACATGGGCATTAGTTCTTACTTAAATATGTTGGGTACTCCTAAAACCGCTACTCATATCCAAATCCTTTGTAGTACGCGTCGCTGAACGACTCTGGCCTGCTGACCATGTGGACCCTGGTGGAAGGAGCCATCACCAGCAATAGCAACGAGTTCAGCTCCCCGTGGGCTCGAGTAAAGCTCTTGCAGAGCGCCAGCTGCGACCTGAGGAGCTATCTGGAGCGACGTCTGCTCAAGAGCCACCAGAGTGCCTACGAGAAGACCAAGTCGTTGTTCCAGGGCAACATCTACAGCGACGATCTGCTAAGGGAGCTGAACGAGACGCAGACTTTGAGCAACGCTCTGCAGGATCAGGGATTGCAGGGACTGCGCTTCACCAGCATCGATACGGGCAGTGATCTGATCTACGTGTGCACCAACCGGAACTTTGTGCTCTGCTGCACTCGTAGCTTGAAGACGGAACGCTTCACGAGAATCGCCGTGAACGAGAGTCGTTTTCTGTTTCCCACCTCGTTGTGTGTGCTGTCCAATGAGCACTATGTGGCCGTGGGTCTGTCCAATGGGTCCGTAATGATCCTCAACTGCAATCAGGGGAAGAGGCAACTTCAAAAGAGCCATCAAAGACCCAAAACCGGTCATCCACCATCCGCCACCGATGAGCCCGATCCAGAGACGGGCAAATCCTGCGCCATTCAAAACATTATACTCAACGAGCGAAGATCCTTTGACCAGCAGGTGGATCCTAGTCCCAATCCCACCTACGAAACCCGGCCCAATACTGCTCTGGAGCTGATCGAGCGACCCAGACGTTCCTACGAAATGAGGGTATTTGACCAGCAGCTGCTCCTCAGCGGCAGTGGACTGCGCCAGCATCTCGTTCAGGCCCTGATCCTCTCCAGCGATGGATGGCGACTATCCGCCCTGACCAATGGCACTGTGCGCACCTACGATTTCCACCGGGACAGGGAGCAGCTGCCCAGTGAGCAGCCGGCGGAAAGTCGCAGTCTCCAGGCCACGGATATCGCAGGTGTCCAAAGTTCGGGACACGAACAGCATCTGCTCATCCTGGACTCGGCTGGAAAGGTGCAACTGCACCCACTTGACTACTAGCTTGTTACATATTTTATAACTATTTTGTATTTCCGTTTGTTGAATCCATTTTTAAAAGCAAATAAAGTCAGTCTAGTCCTAATCGATTTGGATTTCGCTAAGGTATGGTTTTCAGAAAAATGTCATTAAGTTGCGAACGCTGGGAACTTTTTTTTTTGATTTGGTTTGAATTAGATGTAATTAAACCTATTTTACTATTTCAGGATTACGGTTTAAATTTTGTTGAAATCGGGAAATGATAATATATAGTTGCCATTGGAATGATAGAAAAATTCAACAGAAAATCGACTCAGCTTCATTATTATCTTTTTATTATTATTATATTATAATTTTTTAATAAAAGAAACCATTATCATATTGATTTCAAATTCAGAAAATATCCAAAGAGTTTATTACTATTTGTGCACAAATCTAAACTTAGAAATTAATTTTAAACAGCTAAATAAGTCGTTTTCCTTAAAAGATCTCAATTTGTAGAAAGCCCATTCAAGTTTTAAGTTTGTAAAAGTGAATCAAAACAATGTGATATTTTAAAGCTATTTCTTCCATAACTTTTTATAATTAAAAAAACAAAAATTCAAATACTTCTAATGCCATTGAAAGTTTATTAAAGTTTTAACATTTATTAACAAAAATTGTTAGAACCTTACTTTTATGTACAAATCTGCAAATCTTTTTCTATGGTTTTTCATGTAAAATTACCCTGCAATAATTAGATTTGTAGAAATCCTATTCTAGTTTCGAGTTTATATAACTAAAACCCACACAATTTTAAATTTATTTAAAATATACGTTATTTAAAAGAAAGTGAAATGAAAGATAATTATTCACTTTATCACTTCTTTTTATAATTAAAAAACAACTTCAAATTTTCAAATTCGAAAAAATCGAAAAAAAGTTTATTTTAAACATATATTAACAAAAATTGGTAGAACCACTGCCCACTTCACTGTTATGTACAAATCTCCGGATCTTTTTCGATGGTTTTCTACGTAAGCTACACCTGCCTGGCCATGGACAACATGCCGCCGGTGGTTGAGGCTCCCAGGAGCTGTCGCACCGTCTGCAGTTCGTCTCTGAGGGCCAGGACCTGGGCCCTTAAGATGGAGTTCTCCTGCTCCAGCAGAGCAGCCCGGAAAGCTATCCTATCCTCACGGATTTTACGCGCATCCCTGGACTTCTTGGCCGCCTCGTTGTTCCGCTTGCGCCTCTCGAAATACTTGGCATCCTTTTGGGCCTCCGGAATGGGACGCTTTTCGCCGCGAACCCGCCGATGCATGAAACCCGGAAACATTCCGCCGCCAATCACACCCACGCGATTGAGCTCCATGAGTGGAAACTCCAGGGCCTGGAGGGCATGACTGGGCGGAGCAATATACTCGAAGGCAGGCAGAGATTCGGAGGATCTTTTAGCACCGATCATTCCAGGGAAACAGATGCCGGGTAGCCTTAGATTCTGGGGCACAGGAAAGGAGGAGTAGGAGGGCGTCTTCTTCTGCGACTCCAGATCGGCGGCATCCAGTTCGGAATCGGTGACATCCAAAATGGGCGACTGGGCGGGCGAGTGCATCGGTGACTTTTTCGGTGGCTTCCGTTCCGTTCCGTTCGCGCCAACGACCGCGTTCAATCTGAATCCAAGTCCTGCTGGCCGACCACCTGCCTAAGCCCGGTAATTATAGGTTCCAGTCACACAACCCCCCACATTTGGGGGCTATTCCTAAGCCAGATACTCCAGCTACACCAGCTACCCTCCTTTTCGCCGGCTGATTCAACCAATCACGCAATGTTGACGGTAATTATTCGTCAAATACATGACACTTGGTATTTATTCGTGCTGCCCGGTTACAAGGACTTCATATAACTGGTTAGCCAGATTACAAGCCCCAGTCCGGTTCCCCTGGCATTTGTCCTTCGAGTTGGCCAACTCTTATGTGGTGGGGGCGGAAAAACAGAGGGGTTTCCCCGGCGCTGACCAATGAGAGTGGACTAGCTGGCTATCGACGGACATTTTGTAGACGAAAGTTCCTCGGTAAGTAGTGGTAATAGTCTAAAAAGGCGTGGCGGAAACCCCAAAGTTTTTGCACTTTACATAAATGTAACGACTTAAATTAAAGCCTTACATTAAGAATCTAATTTTTTGAATTGTAAAAGGGTCATCTTAAGAGAAAATAATATTGTCAAAAACTTGTGTATATATATAAAATTCTACAACCATATTAATAATAACAATGATACAGGTTAAATCCTAAATCTTTATAATTTTATAATCACTTTTTAAGAATCTTTAAAACACTAGCATCTAAGATATCACAGTTTAAATATTAAAAAGTTTTTCCAAAGCCCTTTTGAAAACTTTCTCTCGGTGTATCAATCGATTTCAGTATGCCCGAACATATCCTTTTACTCCACCACATGCACTCCAAAAAAGTGCAATGTCAGAAAGTCCCGATTTGGCCAATCTACTGTATCAAGACATCAAAAAGTTTGCCCAACTTCAATTTGCTCCAAACATGACTCTCCAGAAATCGAAAAATGAGCATGTTGCCTGATATGCTCCTCGAAAATCATATGAAACCCCAGATATAACTAGCGATACGGAGTTCTTCTTCGTGTGTCTTCTTCAACCCGTTCCATTTTAGGTTGAGAAAGTGTCACCTGTTTGCCCAGGTAAATTGGCAGTTTGGTTTACAGCGTTTTCCCTTTTCCGCTTTCCATTTCCCATTTCCCATTCCCTGTAACCGGAAGTCGCATCCTTATAACGTTTCATAACGTATGCGCTAATTTATTATCTGTTGGCAAAAGTTGGGCCATAGTTAACCCTTTGACTGGCATGCCACTGTTACCATGTCGTTTATGGTGTTTCGGCAGCCCGGAATAATGGATTGCGTGCCGAAGTGACATGTCGGAAAACTAAAGGAAGTCTAATATCATTCAAAGGGTTGGGTTACAAAAATATCTATACCGAATATTTTGGAATCGGTTCGTATTAGTTGCATTACTTAGCCAGTAAAATCTATGAACCAAGTCCCATTTTGGAGATCTCACCCCAGGGACCTGGCTAATGCATTGGGAGGAGCACTTTGGACACAGGCTATTCATATGTTAGACAAATTACCAGGTAATATGCCCAGCCGAACATGTAATTGTTTCGATGTCTGTTTGCCCAGTAATTGAAGAGCAAACCTCGAGGACCCGAGAACGCACCGCTAATGACACCTTTAATTGGATGACATTAGCACCAATGTCCCAAGGGCATGACCAAGTGTGCCTAGCTGGATATGAACATGCAAAGTATTAGGCTTTGCCCTGCCTGTCTCACAATATTATTCACTCGATAACTCTATAGACTTTGAACGGAAAAACTATATCTATTTTATAACTTGTAAAAATAATGTGTGACGAAAGCACTATTTCGGACTGCGAGCCCACCACCTTGCGGCTTCCTTTCAACAGCTACCATATCAATTTGCCCCTCTACATTTTGGATATGGTGCGCATCTTTCAGGATCATCCCAAGTACAGCAATGGTATCCATGAGGAGCACATCCTGGAGATGCTGGAGAAGGAGTAAGTCAGACAGAGAGATTAAGCATAGCCCTAAATTTATTTTTTCATTACGGATAATGATGGTTTTCTTATGTGATTTTGTAGTTCTTAAGTAACTTTTATTATATTTAGATCGAGCTACATTTATATATATAGTTTTATTGTTTAATTTATAATTTGTCGTTTGACATTTTGGTTTTAAGATAAGATTAATAGTTATTTTTCAAAGGTGTAGCTTCTTAATATTAATATTAAATTATTTGTTCTATATTTAGGTTGCATCAAATGTATACCAAAATGGAATAGTAAAAAAAATATCTGGTTAATTTAAATGTTTAAATGTTTTATATGCATTACTTTTAAGTACAATGTGATTTAAATTTAAATTAAATATTTCACATACTACATAGAAATGGAATATTTCCATATTTTGTTAGAAACAGCAATGAATAAACATCAATGCTAAAAATGATTTAAATTTAATAAGTAAATGCTTCTTAGTACGTTCTTTTAACTTAATACTAAAGTTGCTATACTTGTATGTTGCCCATTTCCTAGACCCTTTGCTTGCGGGGATCTGGAGTCGCAGGTGAAGACCGCTTTGCTGGATCTCACGGCCAAGGGGTTCATACGCTACATATCCAATGGGTACCGCACCCTGGGACCGATTGCCAAACTGGCCAATGCCCGTTCCGTGCGCCACTTCAGCATGACATGGCAGCGCATTGCCGAGCTGCAGAAGATTAACTGTCCGAGCCTGGAGCCCGGGTCCATCTCCAGCGAGAACTGCACCCAGCGCGGATCTAACTACTGATCTTAAGAGCCTTTTTTTTTGTATTTCGTTGCGTTAACCATTTTATTTACTGAGTTAAGTTCCATCCTCACCAAGGAAAGGCGCAGACACTCCACACACACACACACTCAACTCCATCAAAATTGTAACAGTCTAGTAAAATTCCTGCAAATCCAAGTTATCGGGGTGATCTTAATTTAAAGAGATACAAATATGATACTTTCTTCCCGTTTCCATTTAGCAAAATTGTATGTTTCAATCAGTCTTTAGTTTTTATTTTAGTTGTTGTCTATTTTTAGAATTGTATTAGAAAGTATTAAAATCCAAAAATTATAACATCTTGACCTAGAACTTTTTAATCATTTTATTTTAGTCTTTAAAAGGTTACTTTCTTAGACAAAATTGTACTTAATCTGCAGAAAACTTTTAAAATAGTTTTTAAAATTTTCGAGAATATCCTTTTAAAGTAAATTTCATTTACTGAGTTGTGTTCCAGCAAATCCAGGTTTTCGGGGTGGTTTGGTTTATCATCATCATTATGTTGGGAACTAATGTTCCATCCTTTTGACACTTAAGCAGGCTAATTATTACCGAGGGTTGGCCCACTCGCATGACGAATGCGGCAGGTGTTTTAAGGGAAATGCTTTCGAAACTGATTTCGGAATGACAATTATGTAGGGATGGTTATGATCCGTAGTGCCCCAAAATGACCCCTGGCCACAGCCATTACCCTTTTGGCCGAACCGTTTAAATTGTCAACACCAGGACAACGGAGGACACAAGGAGGACAGGAGGACCTGTATGACCTGTCGTTAGTGTTGTCCTCATATGCGCATATGGAAGCTACGAAGCGAACACGCATGGGATCCCGGCCAGGTGTTATTTATTGCCTCTCTAATCGTTGCGGCATAATCTATTAGCACCCCGCCGACAGATCCGTGCTCCCGGGTCCACCACAACACCACAACACGGTGTCCTTTGATTTTTTGCTTTTGCACATTAAAGGCAATTATTATTATTGTTTTAGTTCCGAGACAGTTTTGTGTTTGTCATTTGCCGATTGCTGTTCCGCGTTCATAATTGGACCAGCCCCAAGAAGAAACATTAATCAAGCGTCTTGACATGTGGATAACGCGTTGGAACGTAGACAGTTTATTAGGTTTGCTACACGGCATAACTGAAGGGGAATATCCATCCAAAGAAAAATTAATGTTATATGAGTAGTACAAAAAATCCAAAAATGAAAAACGTAAAAAAAAGTATTTTCTTTAACTTAAATATCCTTTTCATTTGGGATGTATATTAAACTTTTGAACTGAACTTCATTGTGAAGTTTTAAATCGACGAAGAATTTAAATCTCGCCTAAAAACACTTTGAGCCTAAAACAAGTAGCGTAGTTTTAAGACAACAGATAGTCACAATATTGTAATTTGATTACAAATAAGGTCGTTCAGAAATTAAATAAAAGTAATGCAGGTCAAAAAAATTATCTAAGGATATGTAAACAAAAAGGCCTATGCTATGCTATAGTTTTTCTTCTGGATTTAAAGCATTTTTTAAATAGAAAAAAGGTAAAGATTAAAAAACAAAAAATATAACAGACCTAGCAATGACGATATCAGATATCGTTGGGGGCTTCATCTGCCGAAGGCTGATCGAGATCTGGATCTTCAATGGAGCTTCGCCGGACTCCATTGCTGGGCTGAGCATATCCACGTTTCACCAGCTGACTCGGCACTTCGGTGTATTCGCCCAGAAAACGAATTAGGAAGCCATCCGGCAGACGATTAATCAGCTTCACATCCATCTCCTTGTTGAGCAGCCTACTCTTGAGGTATTCGATGCATTCAAATGTCTTCTGGTGCGAGAGAAATGATGACCTTATGACTCCCTCTATTTGGCAACTGATGCACCGATGAGGCTTCAAGCTCTCCACATAATCGCAAGGAGCCAAGCAGCTCAGGGGCACGAACTCAGTGTTGCCGTAATCCACATAGAAGATCTTGTACTCCTTATCCATTTCATCGATGATCTGGGCGCGATAGAAGCAGCCATCGCTGTAGAGGGCCAACACAATGTCAAGGAGGTGCGGCTTGCGCTTGAAGCTCCGTTTCTCCTCGGGCACATCTTTCTTGTCCCACACCAGCGGAGCAGAACCGTCCACAAACTGGGCATAAACCTCCGTGGGGCTGTTCACAAAGGTGATCAGGATGCGGACAGTGCTGCCCATTTTCTGAGGCACTGGAGAGTAAAAGACGGTTTCCGGAAGAGCTCCAGCTACCTCCACATCCTTTGTGGCGCCATCAGGGGCAAAGGGTTCGTGAACCAAGCGGCAATTGTTACCTTGGGAGTATAAAATAGTCAGAATAAAATTCAATATTGTTCACTAACCATATATAACTCGTTAAAACCTACAACTTGGAAATAAATGAAATATACACATATGAATTTGAATGAGTGATTTAATTTTATCTTAAACTCGAATACAATAAACACAAAACTCCAAGTACTTATGGCTGCAATACCTATCTGTTCTTTAGTATTGTATTATCCCCTAATTAATGAACAAATTTATTTACTTACCCTTAAAGCAGCCATTTAGCTTGGGATCGTAGTGCCGGCAAATGCGTTGCTCATCCGTTGGTATGAAGCCCAGCACGGCCTTCAAAGGATTGCTGGTGGAGTCTTCGATCTCATTCAACATGGCCATGTCATCCTCGCTTAGTTTAACAGGACCTTCGGTCTTATTATTATTTAAACCTGTTACTTCTTTGTCGATCAACTCCACCATCAGACCGATGCCATTGTTATCGTGCACCCGGAATGTAAGACTCTGATAGAGGAATTTACTCATCTGGCTAACAGTGTAGTTCATCAAATTGGATCTAATGGCTTCTGCGGGCAGCGCCTTGATGTCGCTGGGCAGTTCGAATATGGTTTCGTTGCCGCTCAGATGGATGTGCTCTCCATAGTCAATTAGATAGGCATCATAGCCTCCGCCCTCGGAGCTGCTATTGATAGTAATGCGAGTGGTTATATTGTCACTGCTGTCGTAGACTGCAAATATGTCCCCGTAATTTGGCAATTGGTCAATTTCCCGCAGTGGCACCTGTCCCTGGAGCAACTTCTGAATCTGCTTTGAGCTCTTATCCCATTTGGCCACAAAGATGCAGTTGTCCGCCGCATTCGCATGCACTAAGACGGCTGAGATCACGGTGCCCTTGGGAAAAGCATCCATGTTCTTCGGGATTTGATTGTAGATGCCATCGCTGGTCGTCTGGGTGCCGCCTTTAGGAGCCAGGAGGCATCGGTTGCGTGGTGTCTTCGATAGTTTGGGAAAGGTTGCAGCCGGTGGCGAAGTAGTAACTTGATCCGCTAAGGGTTTAATAAGCCAGCTAGAGGGCATGACTGGTCTTTCGTTAATCTGTTGTTCTTCGATTTTCTTTGGCATTTCTTTGCAGATATTATTGGAGTTCTTCTGGATAGGGGGTTCGTGGTCCTGATGGTGTCGTTTGACTGTTGTGATTGGTTGATTTTGATTAACAGCAGCGGAATACCCAGGAAACGGCGTAGAATCAACCTTTGAGTCGATGACTACTGCGTTCTCTATAATCTGCAATTCAGTCATGGACTTTTGGTTGGAAATATCGTTGCTGATCGTTATTGCTGGCTTTGGAGAAATTTTAGAGGAAAGTGCAGGAGGCTCTAGCGTATTTGACGTCTTCACCATGGACTTTGAGGCCATGGACAAATCAACGGGCACCAGCTGCATTAATGATTCCGGCCACATCTCGCTGGAGTCCGGCTCCAGCGGCTGTTCATCAGAAATTGCATCTGTTATGGCTTTTTTAATCAAACGATTGGGTGAATCGAAGGAGTCCTCCCGCTTTTCCTCGCTCCTTAATCTTCCAGCCGGTCGGTTGAGCTCTATGTGCAGGTTGAGCTGGATGACATAGGCATTTACCTCGCTGAGACTGCCCACTAATTGGTCATGAAGGGCGATGAGTCTCCTGTCCTGGCGATCTACATTCGCCCACCTTTCGGTGAGAATTGTGCGAACCCGGTTGACGTCGCTCTGGTATGAGCGCAGATTCTCCTGCAGCTTGTGCACGTTGTCGTTGCACAGCTTCATCATCACCGAAATGTCCTCCAGATTCATTTTGATTTATTAATCTACAAACTTAAGCGGAATCGAAGAGAACGCCAGTTGAAAGAGCTTCGCTGCAACCATGTGGCAACTCTAACGCGACAGAAAAGGAAGAAGAAGAGGTACGCGCGATCGCGTAGAAGGGTTGTCAGGTCTTGCGGATCAATAATCTACCGTTATAATTTTTTAATTTAATTAATTTTGTATTCGTGTTAAAATGAATACATAGATAAGCATTTTAACCTTACCTTTGTTCAGATTTTATAAGTAAATTTAAATTTAAAACCAACAAGCCCCACCAAAATTAGAAATGTATTGCTTTAAGTCGAATTTTTTCAGGAAACTAACACAATAAAAGGTTGGTACACAATAAAAGGTTACCGTTATAAAGGCATAAGGGTATTCTAGATAAAATTTTTTATTAAGAATGATGATATAATAAAAACAATTTAGGGTGTCTGAGATTTAAATTTTTAAGATTTATAACATAACTATTTTTAAAAACCAAGCCTAGGTTGGTATTTTGTTTAAAACTTATGCTGAAATATGATCAGTTGATGTTCCTGTTTTTCCAAACTATTTTTTTTTCCAATCTGAATTAGAACGACCAGTAAATGTTAGTTAAATGTCATTGCTTTTTAAAGCTGTTAAATAATTAAATTATTTAAATATGTTGTTTTAAAAAATAGTTCAATTTGACGGAAAATAGCTGAGTTGGCAGCCCTGTGAAAAGTCTGTCATTTTAGAGCACTATAAAAAGAAGCCAACGGTTGCGTGCATTACCAACACTTGTTGCAGAACGCGCTTTTTGTGTACAATTTTGTAGAAATTTATCCAATCTGCTCCGAAATGGTCGATAGCAATGTGCCCGCCTTCGTAAGTATCCCCTGACCACAAGGTTAAGATGGTTAAGTTCACAATCAATCCTTCCAGGAGCTCGGCGATGCCCTAGCCACTCGTTGTGGCAACACACTTACCGGCGTTTTTTTGCCGGGCTCGAGGATCGCACTTAGCGCATATCGGCATGTGACGCACAGATCGCGGGATGCCCCCACCGAGACGGCTGGCCAGGATCCGGTGCTCGTCTACCTGGCACAGGAATCCACGCTTTTCGACGAGCCGGTGCTGCGCAGCGTCTTGGCGGAGTCGAACGCCACTTTTGCCACCCTTCAGCAATTGGGTCTGCGGGCCACTCGCGCCGAGTACGTGAAGCTATCGAGGGTATACCGGAGCATTGTGCGCGCTTGCCTGGAGAAGCTTGAGCAGGCCAAGAAGTCGCCGGAGGTGCAGACAGATGAGGCACGACTGCGCCGCTTCACCGATGCCATCATGGTTTTCTATGCGGCCGAATGCCTGTGGCATCTCTTCGAGATTCTCTACATCCAAAACAATCAACTGGTGGTACCCCAACTGCTCGACTGGGCGCGCTTTCATTCTTCTCAAGCGGAGGACCGAGCCACTGATCTGCTGCTGATGGCCGAGGAGGCCAGCGAGTCGGATAACTATTGGAGCATCCTCAAGTCGCTAATCATGTTGGGCGTAATAGACGTGACGCGCGCCATTCTCTCACAGAATCGCAAGGCTGGGCAGCCGGCCTTTAAGGCGGCCGAGCTGATCCTCAAGTCCATGCCTGTGTACCAAGAGGGCTATGCCCTACAGAAGTTCCACTCGCAGTGGGAGTACTGGCACGTGGACACGGAGCGTAAGATCCAGACCGGTATATTCGCCACTGAGCCAGAACTAGAGCAGATCTTGCGACTGGTTACCGGCAACAACGAGCAGTGGGATGCTGCCATCAAGGAGTCCCACGATTGTTATGAATACCTGCCGGGATATCTGCTCTTCACGAAGCCCACCTGCAAACCCTTCGAGCTGAGAATTGCAGCCGCCAATTGGCTGAATCGCTGGCATCTGCTGCGGCCGGAAAAGGCGCACTCCAGCATGAACCGCATGATTGCACAGCTAATGGATCACGATATAAAAATGTTCATATACGAGGCTCAGAAGCTGAACGATACCCACTGGTTCTCCACGCACCTGATTGATCTAATCCACCATTGCGGTCAGCTTAAGAGCTACTTTGACCAGAACAACATGTGCGTTTCATTTGGATTTAAATTTGATTTACTCAAAATATAATATGTTTAATTTATGCCCCACAGAGATCTGCCGGCCCTGCGTCACTCAATGATCTACGAGTATGGCAGCTATCTGATGACTTCGCACAATCTGTGGCAGTTGGGCATCGACTATCTAGAGTGCTGCAAGCAGGAGGGCCAGGCGGCCATCGAGCTCCTTCTACCCCGCATCACTTTGCGCAATGAGCGGCAGGCCACCAAGCTGATCAACCTAGCCAGGCAGCGTGGACTCAAAGGCGTTGAGCAGGAGATCTGCAAAGTGCTATCGAAGCGTTCCTACGATGCACAGCGTTACGGCAATGCCCTGGAGTGGGCCATTCGCTCCAAAGACTTGCTGCTGGTCACAGCGGTTGCGGATTTCATTTTAAAGGTGATTAGTGAAAAGTTCTACATATATATCTAACGCTAATTGGTGGTCCTTCTCATAGCATTACTCGAGGACCGGAAATATGCTTTGTCCGGACACTATAGCCAATGTGGGAGGCCGAATGTTTATCTCACCGCGCTTGGTTTTCCTCTCCAAGTACTATGAGTTCTACGAATTCTATAGAACGCGCGATTTTATGTCTGCCTCTGAGCTTTTGGTGAATCTGCTGCAATCCAGAATCACCCCAGACTAGTAAGTCAATTTGTTTATAATGTAAATGATCTAAAACCAGGCTGTCTTTAATTAGTTTCTGGCCCTCATTGCTCATTGACGCCATGCCGCTGCTGGAGTCAAAAGATCAAACAATTTTAGCCAAGGAAACGGTGGCCATCCTTCATCATGTTGAAACTGAACTGGTGCCCATCATCGAGCGCGACGTGTCCAAATATGGCAATGTATGTTTAATACTATGGTATTTATATTATATATTACTGATCCATGGCAATCACAGCACCACACAGAGACTGTGTTCAAGGACTACCGGGTGGAGAACGTCGATGAAATCCTGAACCTCATGCGCTTGGCCTGCGCCCGCAATTTGGCCAGGGCATTGATCACTGAAAACACTATGCCGGTGGCGTGATTTTGAATGCATTTTTAGTGTAATTTATTTTGTATTTTTCGCTTTTCCAATACATCGTAATTTGTTATAGATTGTATGCATTGCTAACTTGTATTCATACGCATTTTGCTTATATCTTGTGCCTCTTTGCTCTTTATTGTACCAACAACACTACTTGACTGGCTGCTGCCCTTTGACTAAAAGGAAATCCAAGCTGCTGGGGGTCTGGAGGGATGTTAACAGTACGCATTTTAAAAAGATAACACAATCTGCTGGCTCCCAAAACGAGTGGTGTCCCAGCAAACTAAACTAGTGTAAACGGCATGGGTAAATCTATAGGAGCATACCTTATTCTCATGGAATCGGCTAGGCGGCAAATCAAAACTGCTTAGGCCAAACTTAAAACAAGATTAAAATCAATCACTACGAAGTACTTTAGCTGCACAGAAAGGAAGTTTACACACGCGTATGTATACGGAGACGCACCTACGAACTATTAAACAACGCCCAGAGCTCAAGGGTAGTACACATAAGTATATTATGCATATACGTGGATATATGTTTATATCTGTGGGTATGTATATAATTGCTATATATTCTGGTTGGTAATTGTTATGAGAATCGCACGGCCTTGTACAAATGTTCGGTTACTACGTTCGGAATTACAATTAAAGTCGCTTTTGTCTCTGGCTTGGCCCTCGGACCGCCAACGGCATTAAAAATATATCATTCGCTGGGTAAAAACAATAGAAACTAAACTAGACTTAGATGAGTTGCCGCCGGGATGGTACTTCATCATCATTCTAATGCTTAACAAACGTTTCTCCTACTCATTTTTTTTTTTTTTTTGCAAAATCGTCATCCTCAGTCAATCACACCAGGCAACAGAAAATAATTTAAATAATCAAATGATTTATGCTTATTAAGATTCCAATCCCGAACTGACTAGGTTTATCTCTATGAACATAAATTGCAAAGGACAAATACAAATACATATACGTTTGCTATACAAATAAACAAAACGATTTAAGAGTATTATGGACTTTTAGGTATGAAATGCCCATAACATTTAAATTTGTCGTGTTATTAAAAATAAGAGTATTTAATAGGAGCTATTGTAAAACAAAGCGTAAAAAATTAAGTATTTAAAGTAGACAAAACTCATTTTCAAAATATTTCAGAAAAATATCACTAATAAGGTGACAACTAACTAAAACACATTTGAAAGTGAAATTAAGTCAGAAGATTGTTAAGTAAGAGCTTTTTATAAATGTGCTATAGCTACATTTACGGATCAGTAAAATACGTTGCTTGAAAGTGCTTCACTGATTAGTAAATGTAGCTCTATATCGTCAAAGGACTATAAATAAAGGCTGGACTTGTGCAGAAAAAGTCTTTCTGATGGCAGTTCGAGATGGAAGATCCTGTTGCCTAGCGCGTGCATCGAGGGACAGACAACGCCACTTGAGTGTCTCGCTTATCCTACGCCCAATATTGGTTAATTATGTGAGTCTGAGTGAAAAGGGGGTGTCTAATTATGCTTCGCCGCGGTGCTCGTCGTGCCACTCGTCGACACCGAGGCCGTGGTGCTGGCTGCAGCGGTGGCAGCCACAATGGCACTGCTGCCCGTGATCGAGCCCAGCCTTGAGAGCGAGGGCTCCCGCTTGGGCGGTACGATTGGCTTGATCGGTATGGGTGGCGGAGCTCCACGGGCTCCCGCCGGTGGCACGGTGACTGGTGGCACGGCAATGGGCACGGGATGGGGATGCGGTGGTGTGGCCGTCTGGTCGAGGGCAGCTGCCGCAGCCAGTGCAGCGTACTTGCCTCCTGGCGCCCGTTGGATGGTGGCAGTGGGCTGCATCTTTGCCGGCGAGGGTGAGGGTGGCGCCACCAGGGGCACGGTGACAGTAGCAGCTGTCTCCACGGATGCAGTGGCTGGTCCGACGCTCGAGATGATACTGCTGCTGCTGCTGCCGGTGGTGGTGGTGGTGTTGTTCGTGGTGCTGGTTGTGTGGTTGAGCACGGCCGAAAGTGGTGCTACTGCTGCTGTGGCCGTGCCCGTGGGCGCCGTTGCGATTCCAGCGCTCCGGATGTTCTGGCCCGGCGCTATGGAGCGGGCAATGCCGGTCTGTGGTCCCGAAACCGGCATGCTGCTCACCGTGGCGGTTGGCTGCACGATCTTGGCGATGTTCACCATGGGCGGCGTGGCACAGGCGTCGTCTGCAAAACGCGGAGATAAGATTAGCATTCGGTTGGATCTAACTTAGTGTACAACACTCGATCTTCGGAGCTCGGAGAAGAGCTGGCCCCGTCAGAAGCCCATCTCAATTGAACTGACTTCTAGCGGGGCCTAGCTTGTGTGGAAATGTTTCGGCATGGTTGTGAAAACACTACGGGGGGGGACGCCACTGGTGTCAATTGGCTACGTTCTGGCAGTTTTGTCAGGGTGCTCCAATGACCGTGGGTGTGCTAGCGTGCGGGGTGGTCGTGCGGATGCGTGATCTTTGAGGTTGGTGGTGCAACGACGTGGTGTGCACGAGGAACATCACAAAACAAAAAACAAATCACCTTGCAATTGCGTAACATTTTTTCTAACAAAAGATTTCGGCTTCAAGAGGAGTTCGAAAAAAAAGTAATATATATATAGAGTTAAAGTTTGTATATAGAAAATTATAAAGAGGGCAACCATATATAATTACAACAGCCAGTTTCCAGCCTCGTCTGGCTCACTCACCGCTGAACTGTCGCGCCTTGGCGGCGGCCACCGATGATGAGCCGCTGCCCCCCAGTGACTGCTGCTTTTTCAGAGCCTCATGCTCGCTGCGGAGGGCATTGAGTTCCTGCTCCAGTTCCTTGACCCTGGAGTAGGGAAAATACACACATTACTTAGTTAAGTGATTAGGTTTAGGGGTGCAGTTTGACCAACCGCAGTTCCTCCTTGGCCAGTTTGGCGAACAGGGCTTTGCGCTCCAGCTCCATGGCTTGGGTTTGCTTCTCCAGCTCCTCCTCCATGCGCAGGGACTTTTTGCTCTCCTCCTCGAGGCCTTCGGCAATGGTGTCCGAACGCTGCTTCTCCTCGGCCAGGATTTGTGCCAGATCCTCGGAACGTTTGCCTGCAAGTCGGTGGGGGATTAGTGATTGAGCTACTACGATCAGATAGATAAAACCCATACGCACCCTCTTCTATGTACTTCATCAAGATCTTCTTGCGCTCCGCAATCAGCAGCAGCACAATCTGCTTCTGCCGATTGCGCTCGTACTCGAGCGTCTCCTGCAGCTTTTTCAGGTCCTTCTCCATCTTGGCCACCTGGGCGCGCTCCTCCTCGAGGTCCTGCTTCAGCTTGGTGCGCTCCATCTCCAGGCCGTAGGTAATGTCATCGCCCTGCGCCGTGGTGTGCTCATGCTTGCGCTTCTCCTCCTCCAGTTCCTGCAGCATCCTCTGGTTGTTCTCCAGCGATTCGGTCAGTATGTTGACCATGCGCACATGCGTGGCCCTCTGCTTGCTGACCATTTGGTACTGCTGCTCCATCTGCTGCTCGATGATCTGGCGCACCTCCATTTCGGCCTGTGCCGCCTGTGTGGATGACTCCCGCGAGATTAGGTTCCCGTTGAGGGCTATCTTGTCCCGGAATATGGCCGCATACGGATCGTTGGGCTGCAGCCGCTTTGTCCGCAGCTGGGCAATGAGTTGCTTCACCCGCTCGTTCCTCAGAGCAGCAATGCAGACATCCCGTGCCTGCAGCTCGCCCTCCAGATAGTATAGCATTTTGACCAGCTCGTTGTGCGGCAGCTCGGCTCGAGAACGTCCATTGGTGGTATTGATGGCATTGGTGGCCACCACCGGTGGCACTTTGTGCACCACTCCGGGACCCGGTTTCATAGTCTGGAACTCGTGATTGGCACTCACGGTGTCGCTGCTGCCCGAGGCAGCGGATCCGGAGCAGTTCTCCATGGCCATGCCGTACTCGGCATCCGGAGCAGGTGCCTCCGCGAACGTCTCCGCGTTCGAGTTCTGCTCCATTTGCCCCGACTCCTGATTCCCGATTGCGGTTGTCCCAACTCCCGATTTCCGATTTCCGCCTCCTCGCGGCTCACAGCATACAAAAAAAAAGTGTTTGGTGCGTCGCAGTAGGCCAACTGCTTTAAAGTCTCGATCTCCCTGCAACAATTCACTTCCTGTTTATCTAGTTTCCAGCCCTGCTTTTCAGTGGCTTTTGCGCACCCAGCAATCGCACCTGCAATCAAGAAATTATCTTGTAAATTCTTTGTCAATTTGTTGCCGTGAAAAACTGGATACTTTAGCAGTGTTGGGAAGAGACTGCAAAAGGTGTAGCGGAGGAACACAGTGTTGCAAAGCGGTGAAGGCAAGGACCTAACTGCTTGGCGCCATCGCACAAATTTAAAAATGGTTAAAAAAAAACGTGTAAATTAATTAAAACATTTTAATAAATAAGTTTTTAATTTTTAAGCAAAATTTATATTTCCTTAATAATATCACATTAAGAGTTCAAGCTGACAGTAAATTTAAAATTTTATTGCAGCTTAAGTGCTAGTTTTGGTTTTGCAATCCACTTTTCTTTAGAGAATAGAAAAATATAACTTATTTTTTTATAGAGGAATTTTAAGTTTTATTTTAATATAGTAAAATTTTTTTGTTTAACTTGCTGTGCTTAGCTTACAAAATAGAAAAATACCCAAAAAAATAAGACTTTTCAATATAGTTAATTATTTATTGCTTCATTTTTTTTACCTAACCTAACCAAATCTAGTTAAAAACATCGTATAAACAAACCCAACAATCTATAACAATGTCCAAGACTTTATTTTTTTAAAACAAAAGGCTTTGTGGTATTGTAGGCCAGAGAATACCTTATGTGCTTGCCCACTAGCCGATCCGCCAGTGGTATCAGGGCAGGTTCACGCCTATAAATGCCAGCAGCCTGTGGCGTCCACGCACGCAGACGACACTCGGAATGCCCGGAAGGCAGGAGGAATCCCATCCAGCCAGCAGAGCTCAGGGTAATATCACAGTTCAACCTCCCCTCATTCCGACCCTCATTGAACAGCACAATATCACCGTCTTTGCACTGCAATCCGGGCCAGCGTTGCAGGCGATCAGGCTTCGAAAAATCCTCACTGGTCATGGGCACTCCCAGAAAAGGTGTTCCCAGATATCTGTTGTAGACCTTTTCAGCCGCCTGGGTATCTGCTATCAGCACGGGAAGATTCTCAGAGGCGAACACGAACACCTTCAGCCAGTCAAACTGTTTCCTTGAACTAGTTATGTCCAAAAGATCTAGGCGGGCGAGGCCGCCGAGGAAGATGCTCATCTGGGGACGGAGGCGAAAAGCTCTGGGGCGGATCATCGTGGAGGGCTGCAGTTTCACCAGTTCCTCCGCTGTGAGCAGGGGTGTCAATTGGTCGGGCTGCATCACTCCGGGAGTGTCGTAGACCCAGCGCGCCTCTTTGTACTCCTTCTGGCGGTCGTTCAACGTGGTTATGGGCTTAGAGCCACCGGCCATGGCGAAGGCATCGCTGATATCGTCGCGCCGATCGAAGGTGCGTCCAACGGTGGCCACCGGTTGGGCAGCTCCAGTCGCTCCCGTTTCTCTGGCCACTGCGCGACGTTCCTTCTCCATTGCTGCCTTCTCGCTGCGCTCCGAAACAAGTCTCTTGAATCGCTGGTAGACCCGATCACCGGATGGACGCAAGATGGGAAACCGCAGCAGCTGCAGTGTGGTGCCCGGCCAAGGACAAGTGGTGGCCTTGCGCACCAGGTCACTGGCCTCCGGGCGGCAATAGTCCGAGTTGAGCAGGATATTGAACAGCGTGCTCTTGCCCACATTGGTGCAGCCCAGCAGATAAACATCTCCCTTGTAAGCCCACGTTTTGTGGAGCTGGGTGATGAGCTCCTCGATTCCATAGCCCGTTTTAGCCGATATCAAACTGACATTCTTGATATTTAGCCCATCGCCGCCGCCATGTTTGATGAACTCCCGCTGCAAAGTATCCTTTATGTGCTGCAGGTAGACATTGGAGTCGCGTGGCAGCAGATCCACCTTGTTGCCCACAAGGAAGACGGGTCGCTTTGCGCCCAGCACATGTTGCATGCCCGGCCAAATGGAGCTGGGAAAATCGAGCAGGTCCACCAGCACAATGGCCAGTGCATATTTGTCCCGGATGCGGGATATGGTGTCCACATATGTCGATGGAGCCACCTCCACGTCCAGGGCAATATTATAGTGGTTTAGGAAGTGGCACCGCTTGCAGGTGATGGTCTGGAGCTCTTGTCGTGTCCTTCCACGGAATATTTCACTGGGAATATAGCCGGGCAGGGAGGAACTTGAGCAGTGCAAGTTGGCCCCGCATCCGCTGCAGGGAACTTTGGAGGCGGCAATCGCGGGATCCGGAGTGCCCTGTTTGTTCGCAGCATCGGGGCCACCCTGGTAGAACTCGTAGTCGTCCATCCAGTCATCGGGAAAGGCCGGCAAAGCCTCGGGAACAAGGAATGATGGTTTTACTCTGGTCTCCAAGACGGAACTGTAGTGAATGTGCTCGTGATCTTGGTAACGCTCCCTGGCCAACAGCCACGCCTTTTGGCGTGCACTCTGTCCCTCGTCGGCGGCCGTATTTTGCAATCTCTTACATTGTGAATAAACATTTTTATTTATTATTTTATATAAACGCCGCGAGGTCTTCAACATTTTGTAATTGTAATTCCAACGCCAGCAGCTTAAGTCTGTCAAAGTATCGATTGCACTATCGGTAATATCGATAATCAGCCGGCACCTTTTAAATTAGCTCGACCAACACCGATATTCCCTAAAATATCCAGTTTTTCCCTTAATTCAAACTAATGAATTTTTTAAACATAAAAAAAATCTTTGGTAGAATTATTAGTTTGGTATTTTTTCATTCGATGCGTATACAAAAATGTATTAAGTTAACATTTAATATCACAACTGTTAATTAAGGAAAGCAGTTTATTATCGAACTCAGTCTTGTAAACTTCTTAGCTTTCAAAACATTCCATTTAATTCTATCAGATTTCTTTTAAATCCTTTTAACGCATTTTAAAACGGCGCCGATCGACAGTTACCGATAGTTGCTTCGCCAAGCCTTGCAGCCTCAGTCTGTTAAACTATCGATTGCACTGTCAGTGCACACGGTCTAAGGCTAAAGGCTTCAAAACCACAACTGTGTTGCAAAGCATGCAACGACAGTGTTGTAGGCTGACGGGCACAAACTCATTGGTAATCAAGGAAAGAGAAAGAGAAAAAGAAAAAAGAAAGCAGCGTTAGCGTGAAAGCAGAGGTGAGTCGAGTGCGGGACAAAAAAGCGTGTATGTATTAAAATTGAAACAAAAAGATCTAGAAAAGAATACGAAAACCAACAAAGGAAATAAAATATTAATTAATAACAATGCTGCGGCAGGCGATTTACGCATCGCTTTGGTAAAAGTACAGAGTACACGCCGAGTAAAACGCAGCAGCGCACAGAAAATAAAATGATTAGGAAAGTGTGTGGAAAAAAGACACAAGTGTATGTGAACGGCGACTGTATGTGTGAGTGCTGCTGCGTGTATACGAAATAAAAAGTAACGCGAAGCGCGACCTAATTTTAACCAAATATTACAATAATATTTGCATAAACAAAGGTGGTGCAATTAAAGGCGGACCAAAGCAGGGACGCCAGTCATTTTCCCGACGCTTCCATTGTTGTTGCTCCTGCGGCATGCCCCGAAAAGTTGCCGCCGCCATTGTCTGCGGTAAAAAAGGAACCCCGACTCCCACACTTTTCCGCTCAGTGTAGAGTTCTTCCCAAAAAGTCTGATTGAGTAATGCAATAACAACAATACTCAATTTTTGAGAGTGTTGCAACTTTCGTTGGAACTCGTTTCCAACTGTTGTTGTCGCCCGCTCACTTACTCGCTCGCTCCTTTCCATTCTGTTGTTACCAAAACTGGTCTTTAAGAAGCAACAACACAAAAGATTAGTGCAATTTCTTGCTGGGTGGAAAAATCAATAGTTCGGAAATTAGACAACTTTCAACATCCACGATTCAACGAAATGCACTCGCAGCCTAGAAGAAGCTACCGATAACCCCGGGCGTAAGAGCAAGCGAGATAGTTGCTTAGTCACACACACACACTCACACTTATGCAGCTGAAATTTCCAGCGATGTCTGCTCAAAGTTGTTGTTGTTGTAATGTAATTGCGAAATCATAACGGCAGTTGAAAGTTGAGAGCGCTTAGCCAAAGTAAACGCGCTAGTGTTAGTGAGAGAGACAGTGTAAAAGCTTAAGCCCTGATGAACTCTGAATGCCCTTCCTCGGCGCCCACACAAATAGACATCAGCCGGTCGCAAGCGTAGCGCATCTGAGAGTCGCATCGGCAACAACACCATGCCACAAGAAGGAAAACACATGTTGGTCGCACAGTGGGATGGAGTGGGTGCAGGCGGAGCACAAAGTTACACCATGGAAATGCGAATGCAGCCGCCATTTTGGTTATTTTGGGTTCCAAAAACTCGAGAATGAATGTAATTTTAATGCAGGGTCTAAAAATAGATTTCCGTCGACAGCTGCAATGAGTTCTGATCCACTGTACCATGCCAGACTCAAGATTCAAATAAGCAAAGCAAATTACTGAAATGCAGAAATTGCCTTGAAAAGTGAAAGGCAGAGCGCGAGCGACGATTTGATATTTTTGCCTCTTTGCTTAACCTTTGCGGGCAGCTGTTTGTTGTTGTTGTTTAGCTAAAGCGCTGGCTCAGCACTTTGACATTTTCCAGCTCATACTAACACAACCGCGCGGAGCATTCCAAAATTTCCATTTCCATTACAACGCCGCTGCACATGCGCCGAGGCAATTTTTTGGTTTTCAGAATAAATTTTGCAACTTGCCAAAGAGGCTCTCTCGCATTATTACTAATTTCGCCAAGCTTTTGTTTGTTTGCCAGTCGCTAATGTTGTGTTTTTTTGCGTTCATTGCAGAGTGCCGCGAAGAATCCAAATCAAAACCCACGGATTAAGTGGTCTGCTTCGAATTAAGCCCAGCTAACGGTGAACCTTTCGGCCACAAGTCCAAATTAAGCCTCCACCCCCAGAATTAAATCCGGAGTGCGTCGTCCCCACCAACAAAAGCTTCTTCATGATGTCGTCGGATCAACAGTTCTTTCTGAAATGGAACGATTTTCAAACGAATATGGTGACCTCGTTCCGTCACTTGCGCGACGAGAAGAGCTTCACAGATGTGAGTACCTAAACCCAAAATAAGTAATTTTGATATTGCATGGATTTGAACCCAGACATCGAACGTAGAAACAAATTTGCGAGGGATAGGTGTACAATTTTTCTAACTACACCAATATTTTTGTAAAAAATTTAGATTTTTAAATCAATTTAAATTTTTTTAACTAGCTTAAACTCAAAAACGTTTTTGGAATAGCACATAAAAAATACATTAATTTAACATCAGTAGGGTTTTTGTGATTTTAAGTTCGAATGTAATTGGCTATTCTCAGGGACGAACTGAGTTTTACCATGCTACTCTTGGCACGGTTTGCTCTTGGCCGCCCCTTGCCGAGGGTCAGTCACCGGCTTAGCGCTCACTTTGTTTGGCTACCTGGCCCTCACGCTTATTTTTCTATACATTTTTCTTTTACCTGCTTCTTTGTTCTTGTTCGCTTGACGTTTTTATTACGAGTTTGGGTGCTCTGTTTTGGGGAAAAATGTCTTACGCATTTTACTGATTTCCCAATGCTAAATGTTTACAGGTAACACTCGCCTGCGAGGGCCAAACCTGCAAAGCCCACAAAATGGTGCTTTCCGCTTGCAGTCCGTACTTCAAAGCGCTGCTGGAGGTGAGTTTGCTACTTGAAAAATAAGCCATTTGCTAACCTTCTATTTTGTTATTCGCAGGAGAACCCATCGAAGCACCCGATAATTATCCTGAAAGATGTCTCCTACATCCACCTACAGGCTATACTGGAGTTCATGTACGCCGGCGAGGTGAACGTGTCCCAGGAACAGTTGCCAGCATTTCTTAAGACCGCCGATCGCCTCAAAGTGAAAGGCCTGGCAGAGACACCCAGTTCAATAAAGCGGGAGGGTTGATGGTATTAAACAATAAACATAACAAAACAAAAATACATAAAAACAACAACAACCAACTATAAGAAACTTATATGTATGCAAGAAACAAAATTCCAACAAGAGAAGAAGAAAAAACATAACGAGAACGACATTTGGTATACAAATTCATGTAAAAGTACACTAGGAGGAAGAAGAACACCAACAGAGAAACAACACAAAGCTGACAGATTGAAATGATTAGCCTGTAAAGTAAAGGTGGTGGCCAAATCCACCCGCCCACAACCACCCACATCCATTCACTCACATCTGACCTTCCGATTTGCAAACAACCGATGCCCCCACAGAATTTGATATGAATTGTGTATTCGTTTGATTTCTGCATAAAATAGTTTGTAATATATTATTAACAACTACAAGAAACAAAACACACCACTCTGTATAAATGAAACGATATGGACAGCCCCTAAACAACGCAAAACAAAAAAGAAAACGCACTTTTGTAAAGTAATTAACGAGGATTCATTAAAAATATATAAAGATAATTATAAATATAGTGTGAAATGTGCAAGTAGATGGAGAAAAAGCCGCACCGGGCGCGAATATTACAACACATTCGGTTAGTTTTTAAGCCACTAACTAAAAACCCCAGACAAGCCACGCCCCCAAACAGACAAACTCATTTTCATCTATACTTAAACAATAAAATAGAAACAAATGCAAAATTGTACTTTAATTTTTTTTGTGTGTGGACTTATGCGCCCTATTTTCAAATTTTCTAACATACAAGAGATATATAATAATAACAAACGAAAAGAAATGTTTCAATGTGAAGCTATCAATTCTATTTAGCTTAAACAAAAGAATAAGAAAAAACGATAGAATGAAAAATAAAACTTGAGTAAAAAACTATACTTGAATATTATTACATAAAGTAAAATATTTATATGTATGTATATGTATACATGTGAGCATAGATTTAAACAACTACGGTAAATAAACAGAATAATTCAAAAAAAAAAAATGGTCAAATCCTCCTAAGCTTTTCACTGAATTTCAACTAGAAAGCGGGACGATTTGTAATTTCTTCGCATTTATTTTTATATTCTTCCGTAACATACTCATCATCTCCACAAGCATCGCACTCTGTATACAGTAGTTCGTTTACAAATTAACAAAAATATGTTTGCTTAGTTTAAATTACACTAATATTTGATATATTGCGTGATTGGATCTCGACTTAGATCTAGACTCACATTACTCTACTACAGTTCTTAGTTATTGAAACAGTACGCATTGCGCGTATTCAGTTCAAATGGATCGGTGCGCATCTTCTGCTGATTATCCTGCACATAGCGCGTCACATCCGCCACCAGATTAGGTCGCTCCTTGGCGCTGGCGGCGCACGGCGACCAAATCTTGATGTCGTGGTCAATGCCACTGGTGGCCAGCATACAGATGCTCGGATGCGGCTGCACGCAATTGACAATGGCACTGTCCGCCCGATAAACGGATCTTATCTTGCCCGTTTCTCCCTCCCAAATGTACAGATTGCCGTCATCCGAACCGGCGGCTATGAACTCGCCCTGGCTGCCCAGATAGTTGGCCTCCTTGATGTCCGTCGTTACATTGCAATGGCCCACATAGCGTTGCTTGTAGTCGCGAGCCGTGGACCGGAGATCATACTCGGCGTCCGTCAGTCGCAGGTAGCGAAAGCCATCTTCCATGGGCACTGGCGGTGGCTCGGGAGGCTCTGTGCCCTGCGACTGGCGACGATTCTCCTTGATGTCCTTGTTCAGCATGAGCACTCCGTGATTGTTGGCGAAGTCGGGAAAGCGCTGGATGAGCGCCTGCAGGCACTTATCCGCATCCTGCGGACGATGCAGCTCCAACAAAGCCCTGGCCAGTCGAAAGTGGGCCTTCACATAGCCGGGATCCAGGCGCAGGGCCTCATGGCAATCCCTCAGTGCAGCGTATATGTCGCCAAACCAGCCGCGACGCATCAGAGCCGTGGCTCTGTTCAGATACAGAACCTCGCCCTGCGGGTATTTCGCCAGAGCCTCTGAATATGCATCAATGGCATCCACCAGTTTGCCGTTTTCCAGAAACTCATTGCCCTCTTTTTTGTGCACCTCTATGCCTGAGGGCAACGAGCGACTCTTGTGTGGCGCCTTCACCGGCTCCGAATCCTCCTCCGATGTGAAGGTGGGCAGTTCATAGAAAACCGGAGGCTCGGCATGGTTCAAATCAAAGCGATAGATGTGCTCGCAGCCCATGTTGACCAGCAGCTCGGTGCCATTGCCATTGAATGTGAGGTAAGTGATGGCCCGCGACTCGTGGACAATGTTGCGGCTAATGTTCTTCAGGATCTGTCCGGGAGCATAGTATGACACGCAAGCGGAGAGTCCTTCAGAGAATAGGAGTTTTAATGTTGTGGAGAATCACCTAAGTCAGATACCCACCATTACTATCAGTTGAGGGCAGCTTGCGGCGATCGTACACTCGGGCAAAGGGATCGTTGGTGCCCACGGCCAGGTACTCCGTCCTCCTGGGATTGATGGCCAGACACTTGGCCTCCGCCGTGGTTTCCACCTGGCTGCACAGGCTCAAAAGCTTGACGCCACCTCCCTCCTCCGGTCGGCAGCGATGTGGCTCCCGCATGTCCAGCTGCAGGATGCAGCCATCCTCCCCAGCCGACCAAAAGATGTGGGGCGAATCCTGGGCGGTGGCCAGTCGCTTGGCCCGCATCAGATGGCAATTGCAGGCAAAGAGGGTCTCATTTGAATGATTGATATCGTAGACGTAGATGAATTTGTCCGCCGCACATGTCGCCACAATGCTGTTGTTGGTCTTGGGCAGGAATTTCACGGAGAACATGTTGCCCAGGTGCTTGGTGCTGATGACATGGACGCGCTTCTTCCGAAATGGATCCCAGATCATCACGCGATAGTCGTCGGACCCGGAGGCCAGCCAGAGGCCATCGGTTGACCACTCCAGGCAGTTGACGCAGCCGTCGTGCCCGGCAAGGAGTGCCTCCTGCTCCAGCCTGTCCACATAGGCGGGTGAGGCCAGGAGCCGTCGGCGGAGCAGCTCGTCCAGCTCATGTCCATACTGCTGGCGAGCCCAGTGCAAGGAGCTGGCGTTCAAGGGCGTCTGGTGGTGGTGGAGCAGATAGCGCGAGCTAGAGTACTTTACGCGACACAGTTCATCGCTCGACATTATCTCCGGGTGCTGTGGATAGGATTATGACACTTGTTTCTGTTTGTTTTCGTCTCGCTCTCCGTTTAATTCATTTTGCATTCGCAGAGTGCCCCTTGCCCTTCCTTACCTCCCCTTATGCCCACTCTGCTGTCGTTGACACCTGTGCGCAGCGCTGCCAGATAGTCGCGATTTTGGCTAACGGTTAAGTTGACTTTGCGGCCCTATTGCAAATCTGAAAAAAATTAATATATTTCGAAATTAAATCAAAAGCCAGATATTTAGAAAATTCGATGTTTGATGACATTTTAAACAATGTACGCCACATAACTGGAAATACCCTTAATACACCCCTGCACTATAAAAAGAAGTCCTCGGCTTGATCCGTTGACACACTTTCTCCGATCTTAAAGTGCCTCTAAAAATATATTTTCAAAGAAAACAATTATAGTTTCTCTTGGAAATAATATAATTTTAAATAATTTTTATTTGATCATACGGGCAATCATGCCAAAGAATTATAAAGTTTATGGTTATTTTCCAATATTCCTTAAAAGTAGAGATTCGTAAAATCTAATCATTGGATGGATGGTTGATGGTGGATGATGGATCTCTGTGGAAAGGGCCTATAAGAGTATAGATGAAAAAAAATGTTGTAAATGTTTTATTTTGCCATTTTTTCCAAATGAATATGCCAACATTTATAATATTGAATAAAATCAACTTCGAAGATACTGTAAAAGTGTATTCCAAATGTTTAATTTTTAAAAACGATTGATGTCTCCAGGATAATAAGAAATACGTTTTTTAAAAGAGTGGCCCGCAAGAGTGCTGCCACGTCTTTCAATGTCAGCAAAACCTGGGCTGACCGATTCGGAGCAGATACCTGCACATCCCTAAACTGTTATCGATGTATCGATAGCTTGCCAAATCAATATAGTGCAATTTGTTCACATCCCCAGATAAACTAAAAAAAAGATTGATTAATTCCAAAGAAGACGCGAGACGCTGGCAAAAAAAACCGAGACATGTCCAATGAAAAAGAGGACGAGTGTGACAAGCACAAGCATCAGGCGGAGGCGGATGCCAAGTCGACGTCTAGCGAGGATTCGGACGAGTATCAGTCGGCCGGTGAGGGCGAGGATGGAGATGGTGATGGTGATTCCCCAGCGGAGCACCCTGCCCAGCCTAAAGTCACCACGCCCACGCCAACCACCCCCGCCGCCGTCACGCCCACGGTTAAGGCAGCTCCGCCCACACTGCCCACTTGGGAGCCCCTGGACTATCCAATGCATCAGAGCGTTTTCGAGGACGACATCAAATCGCTGCAGCGCCGCCTTCTTTTGAGCACGGCCCAGGATGAAGTGGGCCGCAAGGACAAGCACGGTAACACACCACTCCACCTGGCCGTAATGCTGGGCCGAAAGCACGCCGTGCGCCTGCTCCTCGCCCAGAACGCGCCCGTGAAGATCAAGAACAACGAGGGCTGGTCCCCGCTCTCGGAGGCCATCAGCTACGGCGATCGACAGACAATCACCCAGGTGCTGCGCATGCTCAAGCTGCAGTCGCGTGAACACATGGAGAGCCGACGCGAGAAGCTGGTCAATGCGCTGCGCCAGATGCAGGACTTCTACATGGAGTTCAAGTGGGACTTTCAGTCCTGGCTGCCGCTCGTCTCCCGCATCCTGCCCTCGGACATCTGCCGGCTGTACAAGTCGGGCGCCTCCATCCGGCTGGACACCACGCTGGTCGACTTCAATGACATGCGGTGGGAGCGCGGGGACATATCGTTCCTGTTTCGCGGCGAGGCACCGCCCAGGGAATCACTTGTGTTGCTGGACAACGAGCAGGAGTGCTTCCAGCGGCTGCGCTACGAAGAGTCCGATATGGAAGACGAGGTGGACGTACTCATGTCCACCGATATCCTGGCCACCCAGATGTCCACCAAGACGATACAGTTCGCCCGGGCGCAGCGCGGCTGGATATTCCGGGCCAATCGCAAGGAGCTGATTGGCGGGCAGTACCAGTGTGAGATTTACACCATCCAGGGTCTGATCCTGAAGCAGCGAAAGCGGCGTGAGCATCTGTCGCACGAGGATCTGCAGAAAAACCGGGCCATTGTCGAGACAATCACCAAGGGTGGCAATCAGCCGCCGACGGATACTCGGCGCTCCAGCTTGGGCAGCCAGCACACGGCCACTCCGCCGGAGACCAATACGCCGACGGCGCCGAATGGCATCACATTGCCGGAGCTGCCGCGCCGTAGTTCGCTGCAGGCTCCGCCGGCCCCCACCGTGACCTGGCGGCAGTACCTCGACGCGGAGGTGGGCAAGTGCCCCCAACTGGGCCGACCGCCCGTCCATAAACAGTCAAATAAGACGCTCCGGGCCACGGTGGCCATGAGCAAGGACTTTCCGCTCAGCGTGGACATGCTGCTGGACGTCCTGGAGGTGGTGGCTCCCCTCAAACACATCAACAAACTGCGCGAGTTCGTCACGCTCAAGTTGCCGACCGGGTTTCCGGTGAAGATCGAGATACCTGTACTGCACACGGTCACCGCCAAGGTTACGTTCCAGAAGTTCGAGTTCCGCGACAACATCCCCGCCAAGATGTTCGAGGTGCCGTCGCACTACTGGGAGGATGTTCGTCGCTTCCAGGACTTATGACCAGGCGACGGAGAAACCGCGCCAAAGGCAAAGGCCTCCGGATCGACTGTTGGATCAGCGCCTGGCGTCCGGGTCGATTTGAATCGCAATGCGCCGCCGCCCTCGATTGCGGAATTCGATTGAAGGAGCGGCGCCTACCCCCACCCCATCCTGCCCAGATATCGTCTCGTGTTTCGTGCACCTGCCAGCAAAAGCCGGAGGATAGCGCGCAAACGGGCGGCATGTTTATGTATGTATGCTTAAGAGAAAATCACCCACACATAAAATTGCAATTTTCACCTTTTAGAGGAATGTATTTATTAGCAACAAAATGGCTTAAGCTAATATTTTGTGTCTTGGTACAGTCGTTTAATTTTAAATGTAACGCTCCGAAAATTGCAATTTTACATTTAGGTTTTGTTATGTACTGTATTTGTTTGTAATTAGCTCCCCCTTTCCCAAAAGGGGTATTATTTCGTAGTTTATTTATTGTTAGATGCAACAACATTCTGCCCAGGCTCGCAACTTTTTCATAGCCCGAGTGTGAATCACTTCGGAGTAATTAATGTTTTGAGATTATCACCTTATGTAGGGTGGGGTCTCAAAAAACAGCTGCTCTATCAGAAAGTTATATTCCCGAAATAGCCTTTTCCTATCTCCAGCCAATCGTGGTGGTAAAAAGGTAAAAGCAATTGGCTAATAGCCACGATCCAAACTACGTAATCAAAAGGCATTTAGTGAGTAATGATCAGGTGTTGCCCACACACATGCCACTTATCATTTTATTTATGTCCACATCCCTTTCCGTGTTTAGTGCAATTTCATTCGTAGATTTAAGGTACAAGCTAAGGGAGGCGGCAGTTTATTTTCGGTCCTTTCCAAAAAAAAGTCTGCATAATCCATGTGAGTTCTTTTATACTTAGGCTATGTGTACTAGAGAAAATCGCCCGCAAAACAATTTCCTACGCCCCTTTCTCATAAAAGTCTCAAGTATTTCGAAGTGCGCAAAACTAAAAAACAGCTTCACAAATCAATTATAAATAAATATTTATACATATGTACCAAGGTATTTGTGTAGTTCCATTTTAGCCAATTATTTAAACCGTAAAAAAGCGTCTCTGTACTTGTATTGTATTTGTTAATCGACAGAAACGGCTAGCACCGATTTAGTTTCGGTTCGCATTGCTTTGCTGTGATTTTGCCCTTATATCCGCAATCGTTTGCCTAATGCAGAGTATGACTAAGCGCTATGTATTTATGTAAAACTGCCATTGTTTGTTTGTTTTTTTCGGGCAAAACTTTTGTTCTTTTCTAGAGTTTCACCACATATATTAAAATCAATGCGATAATCAAAGGAAATCGTTTTTAAACATTTAATAAACTGGAATCCAGAAACCAAAAACACATCCACGCATACAATCTGATATAAAAGATCGGTGTATTTTACTAGTTAAGGGCAATTGATTGAAACATATATATATTTATACGTGGCCACCCTAATTGTAATTGAACCGAGCATTTGTATACGCTCTAAAAAAAATAAATATATACACACATCCGCAATCTGAAAAATGTGCAACCCAAGTGAATTGTGTTTTATTGTAAACAAATGGGGGCGGGACCAGAAATTTCAAAATGCGCGCCTCTTTTCCGGTAGGCAACACTGCTGCGCGTGGGTGTACTCTCGCTTTTCGTTTTAATCAACACTACTCTTAGCTGAATCAGCTGTTGACTCACAATCTCAAAAATCTACGCACAAATTAAGACAAATTTTGATTTAAAATAGAATCAAGAGATAATCAAAGCCTGTAATCATGGTTGTTGGTCGCCTTGCATTTCCCATTAACCTGGCCCTGCAACAATTTTCGCGCAGGGTGACAGCGAATCCCGGAAACCTGAAAGTCCTGCAGCGCCACATGTCCAGCGTGTACTTCCGCAGCGGAGCCATCAAACCGAAGCCCGAGGAGATGCCCTTTGGCCTCCTGGCCATTTTCTGTGCTGTCATCCCGGGTCTCTTCGTGGGCGCCACCATTAGCAAGAACGTGGCCAACTTCCTGGAGGAGAATGATCTCTTCGTGCCCGCCGATGACGACGACGATGAGGACTAAGCCTCTGGAAAATCTGTACGTGGGATTACCACCTAGTCGAGATGAATATGTTGGCTTGGAGTCGTTGTCCCACGCAGAAAAACACTCAACACTCGGCCAAAAGGTCTACTCATCTATTGCCCTCCCCTTTTGCTATTTAAATCTCTACTTTTAAGACACCCAAGTTGTGGCATTTTTATGTGTTTCCTGTGTATTTGCAAGTCCCTCTTTGAAAATTTTTATCTAACTTATTTGTCAATTGTGTTCTCAATTGTCAACAATGCTCGATAGATTCACGAATGTTACTAGAATTAAATAAAGTTTATTCGATTACGCTTAACTCTTGCCTTTGTTCTTATATAAGGGGCACCTGCTGGAACATATGAAAATGTATGTTATGATGTGTGGTTCTCACTTTTCAGTGCATATATAGCTGTATTTCAAATTATAGCAATAAAAAACAATATTTTTAGTGAACTTCTTTTTTCTAAAGCACAAAAATAATTAACAAATGTTCCAAAAATGCA